TTGCTGGCCAAGGAATACGATCAGATCAGGAAGTTGGAGAACCCATTATGACCTCACCACCAGTACAAGGGCCTTTACCAAGCACTAGTGCACAGGACCGGATGTCCAATATAGATCAGACAAACATATTAGAGCCTGGTAGGCTCGATACAACCAATACGTACATAGAAGTGCCGAGTCAATTTGAGGAGCCCGGGTATCAAGATAATGGTCCAATGGATAATTTGGATTTACTTGGTGTATCTGGCTCAATCTACCACGACGCGGGTGCCACCAGCGATGGTAAGTGTTTATGATACCTAGAGCACCATGTTGCTAGCTAAGGAAGCTTCTAACAACTCTCGTAGACTATGTCGATGATGTATTATATTTAAACTTTCCCGAATATGCAAATTGGTAGCTGGGCTCTTGTCTTCAAACGGTAACCGATATGTGCGCGAAACCAAAAGATCGCCCAAAAGACTTCGAATTGAGATTGACCTTAAAGATCGTACGTGTAAGGAATTTTAGTATTTGGCAAATCCTTAGCGTTGTGTAGTACTTTTTCGTCTGGAACGAACATAATATATATTAGTTTTTGAGGCTCCAGATCATTGAGTTGTTCGAGTCTTGCGAACAGATCCTCAACGTGGCATATAAGTTACACTGGTATCCAGTATTATATTTAACATGCATCCGACGTAACGTATTAGTGCTCTTAGGATCGAAATCGATCAACATAACGTAGAGTTATGGACGTTAGAGACTCCTTAAGATCCTCCCGGGGCTGAGGTGACGAAGATCATAAGGCGCAATGATTAAGATGTATGCTTCGCTGACGTCAAAGGAATAAACTTGACAAGTTTAAAATAAACAGGAAACTATGCCTTCTATATGGAAGCTTTCATCATATGATGATTCTAAGGACCAACGCGTCTTAAGCCCTCCGGGAAGGACGGATGTGAACCGCAATGAATCCTCAGCTATTCATACTACTCCAGGCAATGCGCATTGATACCTCTAATGGACGTGTTCGATACGAGGGCTTACTAACCTCATCCTATATACGCTGTTGTTTTGATTATGGAAATATCAATGACTTCTAGAACAACATTCTATTTTAAGAGTTGAGGCATCATATCGCGATCCTGTCACTCGTCAATCTTAACTTCGTTCCTACCAACTACCCGTCTTAAATATGATCCAGTGATTCTTTTCATACAAGTATTCCTACGCTCATAACTAATGACTTGCACCGCCGACTTTTATGTACGACGACTAGTGATGAAAGTGGTATGATTAGCTGTTGAGCTGGTTAGATGCTTGGCTCTTACGTCTTATTACACTAGTTATGTTGATCCTTAGTCTGATAGTTTCGTTCCTTATAGTGCGAAGAGATGCGCTAATGGCAGATAGTCAAACGCGACAGATATGTATTATGAAACTGGAGGAATGTTCATTGGTGAGGTTTTCCAGAAGACATGGTTGATTGATCTATGAGGATAGGTACCAAGCAGGTTTGTCATTCAAGATTTCCCACCTGTCAGCACTTGTCTCTTTTGCTATATGAGTTGACAGCTGGCCGCTGGCATCCGGTAAAAGCTGACACATGGCAATTCGGTCCCGATAGCATGGACCGTCATCCATTCCTAAATTTATTCCAAACGCCCAATTCTCAGGGAATGATTATCGGCAGATCGTGCTTTTTTTGATCCTTCAACTTGCGGGGTTGACATAAATCCTTTTTCCTAGTACATAGAATTTCACGCAACTCCACTACTACGTAAGCTATAACTGACCGCGTGGCGTTTATTCGTTATGCAAACGATGAATATTCCTAGCCTTGATCTGATCTGGTAGCTTGGCTGTAAGCCGCTATCCGGTTGAATGATATCTTTGGTTCTGCGTTGCCAGCCGTTAAGCTAAGACACGGAATATCTCCATCCTGTCCTACTATTCCTCTTCTGACAACTTTGCTTATCTCAAAAAAGAAGATGCGGAGATGTCCTTTTTATCGCATCTCCTAAGACATTGCGTACAACACTTAGAAATACTCTTATAAGATAGGAGAGAGGAAATAGAAGAAAGAAAACAACAGACGGGACGAATAACGCAAAATAATCCCATCTATTAAATATTCTTCTCAAGTCCTCGGCGATACTGCACGCGGCCGATTGGCCTATTCGGCTGAATCGATGACTAGATGGTTGGTTGGTCATATATATATGTGATATTGGCTTGCTTACTTACTTGCTTTTCAATGTACTGCCCCAATCTTACGTTGCACCGGTCACCCCCAGGGTCTCATCCAGTAATCCCAGGGTCTCATCAGCCATCTACAGAGGTGGGGATTTCGTCTCAGCTGAAGCCTTACTGGGCAGTTAGATAGCCGGTCCCGGTATGTAAGTCGCCGCACGTTGCATGTTATAAGCGGCTCGTCCGCACCCCCCTTACGGTAGCTCTAGGATTTGTTTCTGCCCTTTTTTTGCCTCTTGAATGGGCAAACCTGCACCAACATGAAATCCGCCCTCAGGCTGGCTACCTTGAGTTATGCGATCACTAATGTTGATGCTAGCTTACTATCTCCCTCTGGTCGTAATGCGGGGAGTTGGGGTCCGGCTAAAGACGTTATTGCCGCCTCTCCAATAGATCCTGTAGGATGGACGCCGAAACCGACTGCGCCGCCGGCGGCCGAGCCGTTCGATTTTGAGCTTCGGAGGAGGCAGGATAGGACTACCACCACAATTATTGCTAGTGTTGCTACATGCGGGTGGCCGGCTGATAATATTAGCGGTAGGTGATGATTTAGATTATAAGTTACTTAACAAAACTACGAAAAGCTCTTGTCTTAACTCTTAGTAGCGCCGGCAATTACGTGCGGCGGGGGAGGTTACTGTTATGAGGCACCGGGATCTTTCGCTGCAGGATGTTGTACCGAGACGATTCGTCGTAATTGCAGAATACCGACGACATGCTTAGAATCAACAAGATCGGGATCTTCTTTAACTGATACTTCTAGGACACTACTCTGGTGAGTTTCAAGACTTATCTATCCTCCCCTGATTCTTATTAACCAAGTCCGGAAAAGTGATGAACCAGCACGACCCCACTGTGTAACTTATTTATACAACGCCAATTTTTTTGAAAACTTCGATGGGGTTAGTTTTCTAGCATGCGGTAAAGAGGCAGGGTCTAGTATAATCGCAACTAGTCCACCGTCGAACTGGGCACCACCGAACGATATCACAACTACTTCTCAATCTTCGTCTGATCCATCTCCAACGGGTACCGATCCTACCAATGTCGTAACTGTCACCGTTTCCCCGAGCTCCAGCCCACCATCCCCAGATGCAGTAGTTGCGGATCAGAGTGATAACGGGTCAAATAGAACTGGGGCTATTGCTGGCGGCGTAGTCGGCGGCGTTGCTGCACTCTCATTGATAGCCGCTGCTCTCTTCTTCTGCCTACGTCGACGTCAGCGTAAGAAGAATGAGTCGGAAGGCAAGGAGATAGAAGGCTCCCCTCCGTTTCGACCGCGAGATTTTCCACGTAATAGTGTATATGGTGGAGGACTACCCGAACCTCAATACCAATCAGACTTCTACGGGGAATTACCGCCGCAGATGGCACAAGCATCAACCCAACATGTTGTAGGCTACCCGCCACCTACTCACTTTGAACCAGCCGCCATGCCTAGAGATCATAGAGATTACAGAAACCACAGGGATCATAGACATTCCCAAGTGCAGGCAATTCCGTCTACCTTTGTCCCAGGGCCACGCAAGCCGAACGAAGATGATATAGTATCACCTATCACTCCTGGTGACCAATTAAACCCTGCCGACGACCCAGCAACGTACACATGGATCTCAAACCCGACACCACCTCCACAATCAGACTACTCTCAGTTCAGCCCACCTCCACCAGCACATTTTCAATCGTACCGACCATATCCCGGAACATAAAGAAGGCTATCGCCCTTAAGCTAGAACTATAGCTATGGTGGCCGAACTTGTCGCTCATTTAAAATACATAAAGTTTTTTAATATTATATATACGTACGTACTGGGCGCGACGTTTTCTTGGATACCGGCGTCTTACAGGTGCGTAATGCATCTCGTAAGACGTAAGATACCCATGGCTTGTCTAATGGAACACAAGGAAGAGGTGAAAACAGGATCTGACTTAGAATATTATTCGGGTGGCACTGGACGGAATGGAGGTCATCTAAAAATATCTATATGACGCTAGGTACGTCAATATGTTGACGAATTTACGAGTAATATTGGAATGTATCTACGATTATTAAATCCTAGTCTAATTAGGACTCGGTCGGATTGGGCCTGGGTTGATCGAGTTCTACATATAGTATTGTATACTATTTGTATTAAAGTATGGATCAATATTTAAGATTGTCGAATTGTACTAAGAATATTGGAGTGTCTAGGTGAGTGTAGTTGTTATCTATTATTTTAGATGATATATCTGGTGTCAATGCAATATACTTAGACTAAGATATTAATGACTACCCAGTCCAATTATACCACCAGGTTTGATAATATAACTCTTATGATTAGTTGGATCTCATACTCACCCGCGGCAGTGGAAGGTTAGAAAGCATGAATGGATATCGTGGGGTACCCCAGACCCGGTCATTTCGGGAAGACATGTGGGGAAGTTGGCGGTGTTAACATGGCTTCTCCACGCCTCGGTTATCATTCCGCCGACTAGTGAAGAGGATTAAATAAAGAGGTATGCTGTTGAATATAAGACGTATTAACTGCTGAAACTATCTGCGAATCTTTGTCTCGCAGTGATACACCCAAAGTGTACAGACTAATATATATTTAAAATAAGTAAGACTAGGTGTCTTATAAACGGAGAAACAAAACAAAGCCGAACTTGGAGAAGAATCCGAATCCGAATAGATCCCCGCAGCAGCTTAATATATTTCCCCCTATCTAAACCCCCCGGAGTAGGCACAGGAAATGGGTAGTGAACAAACTCAAACTGGGAAGGCAATGCGGTCAATAAGTGTGGAGGAGATATCACGGCACAGCTCGCTAAAAGACCTCTGGGTTGTCATTGATGATGTAGTCTACGATCTTAGCAAATTTGCGCTAGAACATCCCGGTGGGATCGCCGTACTCTTGAACTACGCCGGATGCGATGCAACTATCGCCTACTCCGAGGTCCACTCACCATCGTTGATCAAGACCTCGTTGCCAGCATCATCTCGCATTGGCGTCCTGGATCAAGCCACTGTTACTGAGCAATGGGCTAAACCACCACCACGGGCCCGCGGCCCACCACAAAAAGCTTTAGAGAAGCCGCCTCTAGATAGTCTAATCAACGCTAAGGATTTCGAGGTCGCGGCTGAGACTAGTTTTACTCCTAAAGCATGGGCTTTCGTGTCGTCAGCCGCAACAGACTGTCTGACGAAAGAGCGCAATGCATCTGTGTATAGGGATATAGTACTGCGGCCGCGGGTACTAAGGAATGTTAGAGACGTCAATATAAGTACGACTATTCTAGGTAATCACGTTACTGCGCCTATATTCTGCGCCCCAACATCTATGGGCCGTATCTTCCATCCACAAGGAGAGCGTGAGCTAGGTCGGGGGTGTCAGCGCTTAGGTATTCCGCAGTGTGTATCGACGAGTTGTTCATTCCCGTTACCCGAGGTTATGGATGCAGTTGAGGAGGAATCTTTGTCCCAGGGGGAGGGGACCAATGGAACCGTCCCAGTCTTCTTCCAATTGTATGTTGATAAGGACCGCCAAAAATCGGAAGCTTTATTACGTATGGTACGTGACCGCGGTGTTAAGGGTATCTTTCTGACAGTTGACGCACCGGTCATTGGAAAGAGAGAGGCAGATGAACGAGTTAAATCAGATGAGAACTTACGGGCTCCGATGTCTGGCGCGCAGGCTAGGAATGATGCCAAAGGAGGAGCATTGGGAAGACTTATGGGTGGCTTCATAGACGCATCACTTACGTGGGAAGATGTATCATGGGTTCGGCAGCATGCCCCTGGCCTACCAATCGCACTGAAAGGGATCCAGACAGCAGCAGATGCAGTGAAGGCTATGGAAGCAGGTGTTGATGCTATATATATCTCCAATCATGGCGGGCGGAGTTTAGATACATCTCCTGCTACGATACTTGTCCTTCTTGAAATTCAGAAGTGTTGTCCGCAGGTATTTGATAAGATGGAAGTATATGTCGATGGTGGTATCACTAGGGGTACAGATATCTTCAAGGCTTTGTGTCTAGGTGCTAAGGCTGTTGGGGTTGGGCGGGGGTTCCTATTCTCGTTGAATTATGGGAAGGAGGGTATTGAGAAGTTTGTTAGTAGTAAGTTTAAACCTCCTTTATACCCATTACTTCCCGATGTGCTTTATAGCGGGGTAAGAGGCTTGTGCTAATACTATACACATGTAGTTCTTGTTGATGAATTGGTAACGACTATGCAAATGTGTGGCATTACTAGTCTTGACCAAGTCCATCCCGGGCTACTACATACAGGGGCTGTTGACCATCTTGTTCCTGGGTCTGAAGAACATCCATATGCCAGGTGGAAGCCAAGGTTGCGAAGTAGCAAACTATGAAATAGAAATCAATATTATATATGACTTACGTATCTCATGTATCTTATTTGGGTCTGCACCTGTATACTAAAAAAACACACAACACACATGAAAAAATTCAACAAGATTGTTGCCTGGATACATGTAACTACGCTTACTCACTCATTTACTACAAAGGTACAACCATATGTCTTACACTTTTGAAAGCATTGAACTTTTGACAGTCAGTGTTGTCACAATCATACATGACGTCCCTAGCAACTGTCGGCGCTACAGCCAGACAAACCCTCTTTTTCTGTCAAACGCACCTACTAAGAAGGTAGCTTCCATGACAACAAGCATTGTCATTAGACTATTTAAGTTACGTACTCCTTCTAAAACTGCTCTATCTTGAGTCATTGGGGAGGTTGCGGGCTGAAGGTCAAATGTTGGACGGTACGTATACAGTTGCCCCCCTAAGTACTCTCCCCCCTACCCGCCCTTTTTTTTTTATAAATATATATATAAACATATACCCTCCCCGTCTATTTGAGATCTTTAGAGTCGCTTTCTTGCTTCACCACAAAAGAACCCAGACTTCTTTGCTCTTCTTAACTGACTATCTTGTCATCACCCTCTTTCCTTATCTTCACATACTATATACTACACACAACTATTCACAATGGTGAAGTTTAGGGGAGACCGGAAAAGCTGGCGTGCCTATAGTCACCTAGGGGCTCTCTTTGGAATACCACAACTCTATGACCGTGAAGGGAATCGTCTGGACAGCTATACAACAGACCTTCCTCCTAAGGAAGAGCACCAAAGCACCCTCCCAGAGTTACAAATTGAAGGGGACTTCCGCAATAAGTCAATCCAGGTCTTCGATAGCCATCAAGGTAACACTATATGTATCCGATCAAGAGCCGATGCTGCTAGTGAGGTATCAGTTCATACAGAAAAGGTTGTTGTAAAGCACGCTTCAACCAAGAAACATATCCCTCACAAGCAAATTCCAGGTAAGAAATACAAAATAGCCGAGGTTATTCTCCTAATATCGAGGCTAACTTCACTCATGTAGAATCAAATACAGATGATGAAAGCTCGGATCTCGAAGATGCCATTCATGCGAAGCACGCTCGAAGCCGTAAGCCTTCGTCTAAGAAGCACGTTGCCGCTAGGCATATCCCAGGTAAGAAACCATAAAGCGTCTAAATTCGCACCTTTTCTATTCAAAGTAAGGCTAATTCTATTTAAGTTGAATCCGACTCGGAGGAATGTTCGGACCCTGAAGAGGTTGTTGCTAAGAAAAAGCACATTCGCGCCAAGCACGCCTCGGGCAAAGAGCGAAAGAAGGCAAAGAAATTTATTCCCCCTTCCGAGGAAGCTTCGGATACTCTTGTAGAGCCTGACACGGATGACGAAAGTTCTGGATCTGAAGAAGTCGCTGCTCCAAAGCGTACTAAGAACAAACATCGCACTTCGAAGAAGCACGCCCCGATCCGGAAGACGGCTAAGAGAACAGCAAAGCCCGCCCCTCCTCCTAGTAGCGATTCAGATTCTTCACAAGGGGAGTCTAGTACTGAAGAGGATGAAGTCGTTGCCCCTCAACACTCTCGCAACAAGAAGAAAGCTCCAACCAAGCATACTTCAACCAAAAAGAAGGCTTCTAGTAAAAGGATAAGGAAGATATCTAAACATGTATCTCCTCCTTCAAGCGAGTCCGATTCAACTGAAGAAGAATCTGAAGAGGCAGAAGAGGAATCAGAAGAGGATAGCTCCGATGCTGAAGAGGTCGCTGCTGGAAAGGAACTCAGGGGGGACTTGGAAACCATCCAAATGGATGGTTACAGGGACGATGATTGGACCGTCCATGAAGATGGCATAATCTGCTTCATGAAGGCGAAAGGTAGCTCGTAAGTTTTACCCCTTTACCTATTACTAAGCATAGACTGATCGATCCATCACAGTTCACGAAAGATAGCCCAAGAGCTTGAGCGGGAAGTATCAGAGGTCCAAATACGCATACAGGAGATCATGGAACTGGCCGAGGAAGGCGGGCTTACAATCGAGCGTCTTGGTGAGATCTACACTCAGGATGTGAAGAAGAACATGAAAAAGAGAAAGGAAGATGCCAAGTCAAAACATCAAGCCTACGCAGAGACTGTCGTCGATGACTCTGATGATGTGGAGCACAAGACAAATGGTAAAGACAAGGGAAAGGGGTCTGGATCTGTTCACTCTTCATCTTCCTCATCCTCCTCTGAGTCCGACCTTTCCTACGCAACGTTCCCTCCTATAGTCGTGCCAGCACGTGATCGCCCCGATATGATGCACACACTGTCACGTCTGTATCCCAATCAGAAAGTCTTCTACCCAGACAGCAACTTCAGCGTCCAGGACTGCCGCGCCCTCGCCATTGCCGAGGCGCGGTACCGCGGCCAACAGTATGGCTGCATTCAGAATGAATTCGCCAACCTTACAGGGCGGTACTTGGATACCGAGGTGCTGAGGGCCAAGCTTGCTCAGGGTATAAACCCTTACGATGAGACATACATAAACTGGGGTGGTTACCGGCATTATTAGAGGGTGGTCCTTAGATAATGGGAAGGTCCTGGAGAGGAAAGACAGCTAGAGGTTTTGTGCTTGGGTAGTGGCCTTGCTAGGGGGAGTATTGGTTGAGGGGTATAAGAGGTTCTTTAGAGGATTTTAGTTTTTCAGTCGAGGATATAAATGAATTTCATTCCTCGAGTGTACAAGCACAAGAAATGCCCCTCGACGGGCCTGGGTGATGGTGTAGGAAAAGAGGCTTTGGTTGAGCTATAGTTGAGTTAGGCTGGCTCATCTGGGCAAATGACAACCTAGTACATATATTATATTACACTTACTTCCTTTAAAAGTATGACAATATAATCCTCGTTTAATTTTCATAATAACATGGCTTGGTATATTTCTTTATTGAAAAATTCTAGGCTGAGTTTAGCAATAAATTCTTGTAATTGAACACGAGGTACGTATGATAAAAAAAAACAAGACGAATGTAAACGAAGGTGGAAGAAAGTGGAAGTAAATATAAAGGAAAAAAAACGTTAAAGCATTACAAAAAAGTATTTTAAAAATAAAGGCGAAAAACTTGCAAAAAGCTCAGTCCTAGATTCGAATCCCCTCGGATAGGGGCAGGGGATTCGAACCCAAGACCTACGAAAAACCGGCTTCGTTGGGCATCTGCTGTCAAGTCACGATCTTGGGAAGAACGGTCCAGCATAAGACACCACAGTGGGGTTTTCTCTAACCTCAAGTCGCCCGGGCGAGGGGCGTCGGTTGACAGTTGGTTTGCAATTACGATACATAACCTTAACGTCAGGTAGAAAGGTACTTATGGGATGTACTTGGTTATCTCGTTGCCTAGGTTTCTGAATAGCTGCAGGTTGACAGGTGTCTACCTACGTTACGATAAGACTTGTGCCAACCCCTCTATTTTAGGTACCTACTTACGGCGAACCACGAGGGGTTCGTCCGGAATTAAATTAAGTTACTAAAGGCCTATAGATTGTTGCGTTCCAATTATCTAGGCTCTTCTTCTACGTAGCCTTAAGCCAGCCAACACGAAAGCTATAGAGGTGGCGTTCAAAACATCTCGCCTCGCTAAGAAATTTGCAGGTAGAACAAACTCTACTTAAATGTTAAGAACTCAAACAGTTCCTTTCTTAGAAAAGGTAAAATAAATAGCATAAAATATAGTTTAAGGACTTCATATAGCTTCAAGTCCAACTAAATACACATAAGACTCAAGATCAGATCAAGGGTTCCTGGATAAACGTATTAGATCTAGAGCTTAAGGCTGCCTATGTAAAGAAAGCTCAACAATAACGCTTATTATGGAAGATTCTATCCAAGTTAGCCTATTCAAGGATATCCTACTGTATACAATAGAGTTGAACTGTTGTTGGCTTAGGAATTATGGCCGATCTACCAAAGTCTCATAAGTATACTTATTAAATGAGGTTATCATAGTAATTATATTTTAAAAGGACTATACAATGTGCCATAGTGACAGTCATGTACTATAATAATCTAAGCTTCGCATGATTCAAGGGAAAGGGGAATCATGAACGATACCCAAGATCAGGATATTCCCTTAGTCCTTTATTTATTTAACGTGCTGCCTTAACTTTAAGCTATAATCTTAGTTATATAATTTAGTCTGTAATTATTAATATTCCATCATTACATATATCACAATAGAGCAAGCCATTACTATATAAGTACTTGGGTATATAGATGTATAAACATACGCTGTGCAGATATATAGGTATACGCTATATAAGTAGTAGACATGAGGTATATATAGATATGCGCACGTATAATCAGCAGGGTCCCTTCCTTACAGCCCTTCATCACCATACACACAGCGCAAGCTGCTCAGACCAAAACTCGCAGACAACACCTCTAAATAATATGCCGCCAACCGTTATTCATTCGGAGGAGAGTCATATGCCCCACATCATGACCAGCATCAGAAATCCCCTTTTCTATCCGCTCAGCTACCCAGCGAGCCCCTCTAAAGACCAGGACCAGTGTCTATGCCTACGCCCATGGCATCTCGATGGACCCCTTATTTTTTAGTTTCGTGTGCGTGCCGTGTGAAAAAAAAGCCAACCCCTACCCCATCCATTTCTATTTACCAATAGTGGTTGCAAATAGATAAAAACGCCCGTTCCTCTAGTAAACCCTGGGTTATATGTGCGTATGTGCCTCGCGTAGACCCTAACCAGCCAGGTCGCCCTCCTATATCCATGATGCAGTCATGCCTCGTCCGAACCTAGTTATCCGTTTCGCCAATCGTAAAGTAATGATGCTTCTGTAAGAATTGAAATTATAAATATTATTCGACGCTTCATATGCCTCAGCAGTGAGCGCAAGGGACAGTGGGTTTGCCGCGAAGAGTGGAAGGTCCCTTACGCCTCCGACTTCCTAGTGCAGGCATCCCGTCCCCGGGTTGAGAATCATCGCCCGTCTCGAACCGCTCATTGCCGACCATGATGACCTTGATCACATTGCTGAGCCCTACAGCTAAGCAAGAACGACCAACTCGAACCATTGGCCCAAGATTCGTAACAAATAGATGACCGTCATCTTCGATCTTCGAACATAGTGGAAGGGCCTCCCATGTCTCCTGTTTTCCGAAATGGGAAAACATCCATACTTCCCAGTTGTCTTGAGAAATATGGCCGTTTGCAGGTTTAACGGCGTGGTGACGGCGTCTGAGGCCGCTAAGCTGTTGAAGAGGCTGGCGGTCAAGATGACCGTCCGCTCGAGATTTCTCACCATTTTTTCTCCTAACTCCAACCATTATCCCAGAGGGCAAAGCATCCCAGAGTCCGGGATTCTTAATAACCCGTCTCGACTCTTTGGCTCTTTGCCATGGACAGCACGTTTTCCTGGTAGGAGAAGCCGGGTCGCAGAAACACAGGGACTCTCCTTCGTGCTGCGGACTATAGGTTTGTACTATTAGGTCTCGCGTATATGTATTGAGATATGCCAACGTGAGGCTCCATAATGCAAGGGAACCGCATCGCATCCGCCGTGGCCTCGAATGGAAGCATTTCAAGCTTTTCGGTTGGATTGGATCCACCTTGAAAGTATAGATTGCCCTGAGCGTCTGCGCATCTACTAAATCCACAGTCTGGGACCGAACGATAAGGAAGAAGCCTAACTCCGGCAAGGCTTGAATCGAGATAGATCCGCGGTCCTTGGAATTTCCCACCTCAACTATTTCGGTAGTCCAACTGGATCCCTCTTGGGTGGCGAGGCGTACTTGACCCTCACGGGTTGAAGCCATCACTTGAGCAGGGAACCCTGCAAATGTTAGCGGATACAAGTTCATTTCACAAAATTACAAGTTTCACCTACCCTTTTCTGTAAGAAAGCCAACCGAAACGATCGAGCTCTCCTTAGCAAATATGTAGTTATTGGGTACTACTTGGTCGGTCCTAAGCTCTGTAATGACACCGTCGCGTCGGATAAGGATTAAAGGAGGAATGGCCATGGAATCGTCAGCGACAAAGAAGAAGGCTTCCGGTTTATGTCGATCCGGCTCCGCCCTAATAGGAGAGCCCCACCGTAGGTCGACGAGATCCCAGAGTAGAACTTTGTCAGAAGTTAAGAGCGCAAGCCAGTGAGACTCTTCATCGATGCACATAGCTAGGACTGGAAACGGGATGAGGTACGAATCCGCATTTTCACCCAATACATAACTATTACCTCCGGCTTTAATATCCCAGACTCTAACAACTCGGTCTAGCCCTATAGACACAAGGTGACCATCAGAGCAGGCTGAGATCAAAGCGACATCTAAGGAATGGCCTATGTTCAAAGTCTTAACCGAGAGGAGAGTATCCCCATCTGGGCCACCCTGTGAGGAATCTGCCAATTCGTCCCACAGTAGATAATTCATCAGCAGACGAACTGCCGCTGCCACAATAAGTACCGTCAGTAGAAAAGGTGCCGATTGATGGCGCACAAAATCATATACGGCGGGTGTAAACCACGGCTCGTTGGCGGAGAGGCCTCGATCTGATCCCTTAAGCACAAATACTGTCGGGTGAAAGACTCTTGCAATGTAGCTATGGGCATCGGGCTTAACAACATGAATGAGTTCTCGAGCTGTCTCGTGATCTTGAAGACCTAACCACGATGCCGGGCTCCTGCCCTGATGAACTTCAGACAGAGACGAAGCTGGTGATAGATCCTTGTATTTGGGAGAAATGCGAATGATCCGACTGAGCAACTTAACTACACCTTCATTCTCCCAAAAGTGCCATTGAGCGAGGAGTACGAAACCCACCATGACAATAGTCCCAGCAATGCGCGTTGACATAGCGATCTCGCCCTGTAGCATCGCGTCTATCCATGTCGGACGTGAGTGAGAGCCAGGAGCAGAGCGTTGATCTCGAATTGACGCCTTCGCAAGTGCATCACTAAGCTCAGTTCGTCGAACATCTACACTAAGCACTGAGAGGAAAAATGTGGATAGATAGAAGAAGTCGAACATCAATGCGATGGCTGCGAAGGTACAAAATGCCGAAACACCGGGAGACACAATTTTTGAAAAGCCGTATAAGAGGAGTACGTTCTGGGCCACACTGGCCAGTGCGACGTGGCCTGTCTCACCAAAAGCCTGACCAACCCTATTGCTGGTACTATTTTCAGACGGCGTGAGAATGACAGCGTTAATGAGCCGATGGATGTTTTCAAGACTCATACAGAAAATGACGACTGGATATCCCAAACGTGGAAGCCTCGATAGATCAATCTTAAGTATAGCGCATATGGTAAAGCTCGATAGAATGGCGAGAACGATTTGAGCCATAACCGTGACCATCAATCCCATTTTCGACTTAACAGCTCTCAAATTCGTTAAAGTTGCCAAGAAGTAAATGAGAAGGACCGAATAGGGAACTCCTAAAACGATGACGTCTTGAGACGATATGGGACGAAACTTAAATTCATATAATTCGCTGGTCTTGCCGCTCGGAGAATACTCAAAGATATCCCAATAATCAGCCATTTTATATTTAAGAGCCTTTAACCTCTCCTGCCATAGACGACCAACCGGAGAGTCTCGGAGGTGGATGAGGGTAATGACAAGAGCATCAGCAGCGACAAGCCGACGATCCTGAAAGCGCTTCCCACTGAAGACAGTCGAATGCCTCAAGGTTACATTGACCGATGTTGGTTGGGATTTTCTCTCGTTTGCCGTCTCAATGATATCGTCATCCTGTTCTATGTTCTCTGCAGAGCACGACCAATATTGTAGCGGAGACTGGAAGAACCAGGACTCGTTAGTCAGGCCATTTACGATATGATACGTGTCACGTTGACTCGGCGTAAGATCCGTAGTCGTAGCATTTTGAAAGTGAGTATCGGCAGCAATATGGCGTCGCGGATCGAAGTTGACTGTGGGACCAAGGAGTTCGTCTTGAAGTTCTAGAGCGCTAAGCAAAACGTTTCTATTAAGAGCCTGGAAATAGTCGCCATGGACCCATATCGAACGCATAATAACGTCGGGCTCAGCTCTATTCCTATCGTGTAGGGGGAGAGTGTCGGTCCAAGCATGTTCGGGGAGAGAGGACGCGCCATTGATGAAATCGGTGGTATAAAGAAAAGGAAAAGGATATACAAGGACGGCGGCCACGGCAACGGATATCAATAAGGTCGTAACGACATGACTAGCAGCGTATCTTCCGTACCGAGCGAAAGCGCGGCGTAGGGGGTGCGTATCGGTAAGCACGGGGGCTTCGGTAGTTCTAGGGTTACCTTGTCAATTGGGCTGTATGCGAAGCAGACAAACGAGATAAAACATAACATACCCTCTAAAAGGATAGAGAATATACCAAATCATTCTTTCCACACGTGGTGGGCAGTCACCAAATTGCGAGCTGCCCACGATAAATCGGCGCGCAGAAGAACGGTAGGCAAGGGCCTTTCCTGAAGTTGCAGGAGGAGGCGCATTATACTTCTCCAAGTTATGGCATAGGAGGAAAAGCGCTAGATATCTATAGAATTCGACATATACGTATAGTAAGGACAGACAGACAGGTGAGAGGTAGGCAAGTAAGTACTTGTGTCGGGATTTTAGGTATCTAATACAGTAGATGTCTCATCGTCGGGCCCGAAGTCTAAAGGATGGATCTTGGGACGAGGACGAGCGACCAAGGTAGGAATTATTCGATGGAAAAAGCAGGGACAAGTTGAAAGGCGGAAAATCGGACATGGAGGCGCTATCTCGAACTTCGTATTTCATAACAGGGAATTGATTAGTGAATGCCAATAGAAAAGTTACTATAAGAGGACTAGACTACTAGAGCGGCGCCGCCGTGTTAGAGTATTGTCTTACTGTCTCGCCCTTGACTTGACCGAGTTAAGCTCACTCCGTCTGACTTGCGTAATAAGGTGGAAAGGTGGATGCAGGAAGATCGGATCTCGATTGTTATATCTCGGGCGGGCGCTTTGAAGATTTCCAAGTTGCAGAGTTGCAGGGAAGAGGTTTGTACTTACAGTGTACTGAATAATTGTACCAATAGATTAAAAAAGCCAGGTAGGTGCTTTACGTATTGTGATTGTACAGACTGGGTTTTTTTGCTTTGCGACTTCCATCTGTTTTCTCATTGTAGGTGCCAAGTTTGGGACATAGACATGGACTTGGGACTTGGGAGGCGCGCCGGCGGGGCGGATTAGCGGGACTCGCGGACGGCCGGGTAGAGATCCTATTCCTTGGTAACCTGGGAAAACGTCGTTGTAGCCCAGTAGAGCCCCTCCAAGCAAGCCCCTCAGCAGTACAAGGTACCTGGGTACATAAGTACTTCATCATTCCCTCCCTAGAATAACCCCCTACAAGGATGTAGGTACCTAACTGGAACTCCACTCTTACCCCTCATAGCTGGAATTTCCTGCATTTTCGGTCTGGAATGGGCACCTTTGCTTTGTCCTTAGCTTTTTCTTTTTTTTTTCCAACAAAATTGGCTTTGGCTTTTAACAAACGCCTCCCAATATTAGGCAATGTGCCATGTCGAAGAATTCCCAACAAAGAAAAATACCTAAAAGATCATCCGTAAATATATATTATCAGTAGCAAACCACACGCCTATCAATATATCAAGGAAGCTAAGCTATGATGCAACTGTGGCTGTAGCTATAGTTGTAGCTATAGCTGTTTGATGCATCATCGTGACGCCAATAGCTCATGACCGAGGTATTAAAGGGCGGAAGGAAATGCAAGCAGATCTAGTAGATCTAGCAAGGTAGGATCGTGAAGAGTATGCAATAGATATATATATATGTATGTAGACGTCGCAACGGGGACCAGGGGGAGAAACTGCAAAGCTGGGCTCTCCCTATATATTTATATTTATGAAATTCTGTCACTTGTCATCAACCCATGCTGCGCGAGGTAACTGACCGCTTATATTGCTACCTAATAAGAAAATCAACTCCATCCTAATGACGACCAGCGGTCGCGGGCGGGGTTCGTCAAGTGAGAATCAGCTCACTTTTTCTCACGATGCCTTCCATTGGCGTGCCGTTATTGGTGCGTCCCGGGCAGATTAGGCAAGGGTTGGTAATTAGATCTCCCCAAACCAGATTCCCGGGAGCTACTAATCAAAGATCATAAACTGTAAACGTACATAAGGTCCAAAAAAAATTGATAAGAAACAGAGTGAGAGACTTTCCATAGGGCTGCCCGGGTGGTTTCATCCAATACCTATCTTCGTGCGCGGTACCGGTGGATGCATCCCTCAAGCCTTACCTGTAACATATCATATCATATTACCGTCACCCTGACATACCCCCTTTCAGAACGTATGATCCGGCCCCGAATAACGGACACCGCTGTAGAATAGCTCAAATCATTAGAGTCGACCCATGCGGAAAAGATGGAGAAAAACGAAGATCTGAGCGGCGACCCTATCGCGGAACTGATCACTAGCTTTAACGAGCTCAACGCCGGCACAGTCGAGGAGCTAGATGAAGAGCCGAGCCCGCTCGAGTTCATGAGGTACGTAGCGCGGAATACACCTTTCGTCGTACGCAGTGGAGCTTCCGACTGGCCGGCTGTGAAACGCTGGACTGCCTCGTATCTCCGGGAGTCGCTCACCGGCCATCATATCAATGTCGCCGTAACACCGTATGGGAACGCCGATGCTCCCACCGATCAAGACGGCCATTTGATATTTGCCAAGCCGCACGAGGAGGAGCAACTCTTCAGCTCGTTCCTCGACTACTTAACAAATCAAGAGCTATCTCCTTACTCCTCACCTGAAAGTAGAGGGGAAGTTCGATATGCTCAGACGCAAAATGATAACCTGCGCAATGAGTATTCCTCGCTCTACTCCCAAGTACCACCCTCCATCCCCTTCGCACGCATCGCTTTGCAAAATGAGCCCGACGCCGTGAACCTATGGATCGGCTCCTCTGCATCAGTAACCGCATTGCACCGCGACAACTATGAAAACGTTTATGTACAAGTCGCAGGGCGCAAACACTTCGTCTTGCTGCCCGCGCTGTGTCAACCATGCGTCAACGAGCAAGAGCTCGAGCCTGCATCTTATATCCGAGAGGCCCGAGGTTTGCGCTTACAAAAAGAGGAAGGTGATAAAGTCCCCTTTGCAACTTGGGACCCCGATAATCCAACTATACGGAGTACGAAGTATTCGCATCTGGCACGGCCCCTGAGGGTTACCCTAGAACCAGGTGATATGTTATATCTACCAGCTATGTGGTGAGTGCTAGCGTCAGCGTATAAATCCGATACGTCTTAGAGAATATTGGAGTGCTTACAGCCTATCTTAAGGTACCATAAAGTCTCGCAATCATGTTCCGAAGAAGGTATCTGCGTTGCCGTCAACTATTGGTAAGGCTTTGGTCTCTTAAGTCGCATTTTCCTATCTCCCTAAATGCTCATCTACATATATAGGTACGATATGGAGTTCAGCGGATCTCTCTATCCTTTAGTATCGTTAGTCCGGACTCTCGGTAATCAAGCAACAAGATAATATCATCTTCGTAGCCATAAGGAAATATAAAACCGACCTCCTAGCCATACATTCTTAAATTCGTAAGTTTATCTGACTAGCTTATTCTCAATTCCTATGTGTACAGCACTCACTGGAGCTGAGTGTTGAATCCCCTATTAACTAACCCCCGGCAGTTGCACTCGGGTTTACCAGTGCCCATCCAACCGGTACTCCAAACACCTTGCCATTCAGTAATACCAAGAGACATATTCTCTTTGGACCAGCCACATAGAGCATAACCTACTCCAAGCACTAAATATTCACCTTCACACCCAATGGGTGTCTTGCATCTTCGTCTAAAAACCTCCCCTTGTCATCGCCGATCTTCCTTCTAAACAATGCTAAATCCTCCAAGAGGTCGTGCATGTAATCCTGAACATCATTTGCCTTCTCCTCATACACATCGGATCCATATCCATCATCCTCGCCGTAATATGCCTCGTCAACAGGACTAGCCCGGCCCTTGTCTACATTCTCCTTATCCGCTCCATCCCCTTCATTCTTAACAACCACCTCTGGAATAGGGTTCTTAAGGCTATCAAGCGCAAGTTTAAGATGTAGCCTCAAAGCCTCGTTCTCAGTCTGTAGACTGCGGATCTTCCCTTCAGACACCATGCTACGCTCCTCCATCATGCGTTGCATGGCCGCGACACGGTTTTGGTACTCCTCTAGACGCTCTTCGCTTTCCTTGGCATCCTTCTCGCGACGGCGAGAGTCTGATACGGATAGTTGCAATACTCGGATTTCTTCGGCCATGGCTGCAATCTGTGCGTCTCGCTCCGCCGTACTGATGTGGTCCTGGTTGACCACGGCACGAGTACGGATTCTCTTCGCTTGATCCGCGTACCGTAACGTTGATAGCGTTTCCTCATAGTCGGACGGCGCAATGCACGCAATCATCGCCGTCTTACTATTACCTCCTAGGGAGTCCTTCAGTAGCCATGTTAGGATGGAGTCACGGTACGGCACGACATCTCTATGCCGCTTGCCAGGGCGTTGGGCCTTCGGGTCCGCGAGCGCCGCGATGACCCGACCTAGAGTTGTCAGGGATTTGTTGATGTTACTGCCCTCACGCAGCCGAGCGCCAGTCGCCTCGGTGGATTTGGCTCGCTCGCTGCCCGCTAGATCGACCAGCCGGATTCGCGAGCTACGTTCCGTAGTCTCGTCCGTTTCCATATCGTGGTGAATCTGCTTTAACATGATGGTAAATACTGCGTGGCTTCGACTACTCGTGTCGTTCATCTTGGTGCTCGCTGTCGTACGACTTGCATCTCCAGTCTTCATGTACCGAAGAATCTCATTCAGACTTCGCACTGGCACCTCAGTCAGATCCTTCACATACGGTCCCTCAGTTGGCGACTCGCGGATCTTCAAATAGTACGGAGGCTGGTTTGGTACCACAGGAACAAGCAAGTCGCGGACGTGCTCATTGTATACTTCGAAGTAGGAGGCTCGTACGTGATACGAAATATTAGGCGTTTCCTCCTGCGCTGCTTCAATGCGCTGGAACAAGTCTTCACAGGTCCGCGGAATAAGTCCTGGTTGGTCGGGCGTGCCCATCATTGTGTAAGACTTGCCAGAGCCGGTTTGACCATAGGCAAAGATGCAAGTATGATAACCCTCGAAGTTGTGGTCGAGGAATTCCTCGCCTAGACAATTGTATACATCTTCTTGATGTGCGTAATATCTGTCCCTCGTGTTATGACTCCAAAAGGAGTTATCAAATATAAATGACTTCTCCTCAACCACCTTGCGTGACTTGGCTCTGACATTCGCTGGGTCATGATCGTTTGGCACATGAAGTGTAGTCATCTGGGTGTGAGGATCCATGCTAATCAAGCACTCCGCACCCCTTTCGATCTCTATAATACAAGTTAATTATTCTTCAATCGACTTCGTAAATAAACAATTATAGAATTGTAAATAATACATACCTCTAGGCAAAAACGCCCGGACTCTCACGACGACTCTCACATTACCTCCCGCATCCATTCTCATTTGGGGCGGTAGTATGCCATCTCGAGCACGCAGAGACGGTGTTGAAGCAGATGAATGCATGGCTCTCATATTTAACGACGACATAAAACGTGATTCTAGCATTCCAGTTAATGTTATACAAATTTCGTTGATGAGGTCGTTAGTGCGCTGCTGATATGGATATGGAATGCCGTAGACAGGCATCTAGAGAATGGGGAAGTGGACCGGGGGGGTCTCTTTATTTACTTAGGATTGTACAGGGGCGGGCTGGTTGCCAGAGCAGCGACGCGGTAGAACGGCGCCGATTGCCCCGCGTTGTGATAGTGACGTCCACTTGTGGCTTGCGCCTACCATCCTTTGCATAAGAGAGGGGCAATTAATCAAGATTTTGTGATGTTACGTAGTTGATGTTTTCTTTAGTAAATTAGAAAATACGAAGTTGTGAAATTGACAAGCATGAGAAGTGATATGGATTAAAAGTTGCATGCATTGGGCATGTATATTCTATTGAGATATCCTCCCATGTCCATTAAAAATAAAAATAAAAGTAGTCTACATTCTATGCATCCTGACCAGGAAACCAACGCATGTTGTAAAATACCTTAGACAGCTGTCTCCAGGCTACACCAGAACAAAAAAAAGGAGCACCAAATGCCATAGCAACAAGCCTATCTTCTCGCGAGGCCTTTCCCCAGTAACTCACTTCCTACCTCAGTGATGAGAGGTTCTTTCGAGAAGACTTTCTTCTTTCCAAGAATAGTTCCTTCTGCATCCATAATTTTCAGGCAGTTTATGAGGTCGCCTTCTGTAGGTGCACAATAAACTAGGAACCCAAGCGCCAACAACATGCCGTGCAATGCCTCGTTAGAGGATTCTTCTTGAGATATGGCTTCTACTACCGACGCGGCAAGCTCTACTTGGTCATCCTCGGGGAGAACGTCCCCTGACTCCTGTCTCATCTGATAATTCGCGATAGCTACATTGAATAATAGTGATGCCGCAACTACTCGAATATTATCGCGACTGTCGTCTAGGAAGCTTGATGATATGAGCCGCGTGATTTGGCCTCGTAGCGTCTCTTGTCCGAGGATCTGTTCAGCGTATAGGTGACTTGAAAATAAATTGCAGGCCATCTGTAAAGTAACAAGTCTTAGAGCGTAAGGACAGTCGCTCTCTTTATTCACAACGTCAAGGAGGGTGACCACTGTTTTCTGATCATGTTCTTCTGCGAAGTATCCGCTAAACCGTTCGTCCACAAGGGCACAGCGGAAGAGATCCACGACTGTGAACAAGACTTCCTTAGGCAGAGATTCAACCGCAGAACATAAAAATTTAGAGAAGGCGGGCAAGTCAGGTAGTGGAGCTTCTGCAGGACCTTCAGATGACCGAGTTTCAATAAAGTTCTTCACACTCTGAACCGAAGGGTCGTCGGCTTTTGACCCTAGTTTAGACAATAGCTTCGAAAGCGGTGGGACCTTTTCGTACAATACTGGTTTCAACTCGGCGTTCGCGAAACGAGGCAGCCTGAGCATTCGGTGCGGATGGCTCGGAACCGCCATTTGAACTAGTAGTTCGACGGTACTCTTAAGCCGAGAAGCATCTGCGCCCATCCATCGTTCTCCTTCTTTACCATGGACGAACGTAATAAACGTGGGTGTTGCCCTAATGGAGTATCTCTGCGCAACATCAAAGGCTCGAGATATATCAACTTTCACCACCGCGACTTTACTCCCGTGCTCCGCTGCTAGTCCGTCGTAAAGAGGATAAAGGGCTTTACAGGGACCACATGTTGCCGAAGTAAAGAAGATGATGGCACATGATTTCCTAGCTCTTTCTAGCATATCATCGAACTCCCGGATATTAGTAATATTAATTACGCTTAGACGCTGAGGGTGAGTCGATGAACCGGCGCTGTTTGCGGTACCGTTTGTATGCGGTTGGACATTATCCTGGATACCGAGGAGTCCACCTCGCTGGGCTTTTCTCTGCTCGACTATCTGTGAGAGTTGAGGTTGCAGCATTCTTCCGAATGGAGAATCAAGAACAGCTTGTGGCATATTCGCTATGTGGCTTGGCACCCCTTTTCCTAATAGAAACATGGCAAAATCATTGCTGAAATTGTTGCAATTATGTCGAAACAGATCATAGGCCTATTTAGTCAACATATAGTACTCGTCGAGACTGTCTCTTTAACTTACTTCGGGGGTGTATATATGCTTAAGCGAATCGAGATATTCAAGGATTACCTCTATAGGCAGCTCGGTCTTCCCAAGGTGAATTCGTTCCAAAGGTTGACCCAGGTGAGAGGTTCCGGGCCGGATCACATTTATACCACTATCATAGACATATTCCTTGTTGTCTAATTCGATTGAAGTATGATAAATAGCATCAAGCTGAAAGCCTAGTAGTCCAAGGGACAGCTGCTTAGCTAGACCATTTGATAAGTCGTAGACAAGAAGATGGACGTCCATCGCAAATGTTCTTGTGGTAATGGCTAGCGTTATAATTGTTATCGCCGTCTAAATTCTTCTAAGTCCGCTTTATCTTCTCAGCGTCTATTTGTTAATTGAATAGAATAATTAAAACATTAGGTTCAGAATCAAGGATGAAGTGATCTCACGATGGGAAATTATATGGGAGATAATCAAGTGTAGGCAGTTATGACTGAAGGCAACGATATGTACGTCAACTCGATGTCAAACAAGCAGCGTCACAGTACCTTCTAGTAACAAAGCTACATATACATAGGTAGATATGTACCTTCCTACTGGGGATAAATTGCGGCTGACTCTCCCATTCCGATTCGGATGGAGTCAGGTTCGTTCCAACCTTTCCGGTACCTTAGTGTGGCGGTGGTAAGTCGAGGCTTGAAGATGCCAGATGCTAGATTTAGGTAGATGCCAAGGTCTGCCAGGGCTGCTAGGGTACATGTACAGGTCTCTGGGATGAGAGATAGTAGCGCGGCGCTAAGTGGAGACGTTTAGCCAAACATGGCTAGTAGGTATCTTTACATATAAATTTATAAGTAAGGTACAAAACCTTAATAGAAAGATCAACTTTTTATACTTAATCTTTTATCCAGACCCATATATTGATATTCAGGAGCAGCCTTTCAGTTCGAAAAGTATTGATATTCAGTACTGTTATATACAAATTTATACGTAAAGCTACCTGCTAGCCATATTTAGTTAAACATCTCCACTTAGCGCCGCGCTACTATCTCTCATCCCAGAGACCTGTACGGGTACGGGGTTACGTACAAAGATGACAGGGGTATGCAGTAACTAATCCAACCAAGTCACTAGAAATAGTTGCGAAGTGCCTTGGAGTGCCAACTAAATTCAAGTAGCCAAGTCATCTTCAGGGGTCCATCGATAAGGGAACATTAAAAACCGTTGAAATTGGAAAATCTTCGAGATTGCCATTTGCCATTTGGACAAGTTGTGTCGCCTCGTGTTCGTCGCCCCCCTTTTCCACATTATCCTATTTAACGATTCTCATATCCGGCATTGATCCTCGCTCCTGTCTGGTTTAGACTCTCGCATGTCAAGCTGATCCTTCGTTGGCTTTTTCTAGGTTTTCTTTTTTAATTTTTTTGCTCTTTCTTTCACTCTTTCACTACCAATTAAATTCCCTGATCTTCTTGGGGATGCATTGCATGTAAAGGTTATGAGGAGAACATCAGTTTCACTGCCTACGAAGCAAATTAGACACGACCCTCACGAAAAACCTGCACGTTACGACTCGGGCCACCGAGAACCCGGCATCGTGGAGAAACTACAGGCTGCGACCATGAACCAGGCCCAAAGGACGCGATGGCTAAAGACCACGGCCATCGTTGTCTTCTTGGTGTTCCTGTTCTACTACATCTCGCCAAGAGGTGTAGAAGTATATAAGGGTGGTATGTTATCTCGTAACTGAATCCTATAATTCCCTTTAAAATAGCAATCTAATTGATTTTTATAGTGTCGCATTCTGGCGGCCAGGTGCCGTCCGATTCATCATACGGAACCTCAAGATGTACGAAATCGTTTTCTAAGGACAAGCCAATCGTACAATATGTCCTCATGATCGACGCTGGTAGCACTGGATCCCGTATCCATGTTTACAAGTTCAACAACTGTGGCCCGACCCCAGAGTTGGAGAAGGAGGAATTCAAAATGACCGAGAAGAGCGTAGGCGGCTTGAGCAAGTATAAGGACGACCCTGTTGCCGCCGCGAAGACCTTGGATAGTCTCATGCAAGTCGCGATGGAGACCGTTCCCGACAAGTTGAAGGGTTGCAGCCCGGTTGCCGTAAAGGCGACCGCTGGTCTGCGAATGATTGGTCAGGAGGCCAGTGGGAAGATTCTTGAGACCGTTCGGGAGCACCTTGAGAAGGACTACCCCTTCCCCGTTGTCTCCCGAGAAGAGAATGGTGTTGCGATCATGGACGGTTCTGACGAGGGTGTATACGCCTGGATTACTACCAACTACCTTCTAGGAAAGATTGGTGGTCCTGACCAGAGCCCAACCGCTGCTATCTTTGATCTCGGTGGTGGTTCCACGCAAATTGTCTTTGAGCCCACGTTTAAGGGACTTGCTTCTGGTGGCATGCCCGAGAAGCTGGCTGAAGGCGACCACAAGTATGAGCTCTCCTTCGGCGGACGAAACTTTGAGCTCTACCAGCACTCTCACCTTGGATATGGATTGATGGCGGCTCGCAATTCTATCCATTTGAACTTGCTACATGATATCTACAAGAAGGAGAAGAGCAAGGCATTCTTAGAAAAGCCTATTCTTAACCACCCTTGTATCAACGCCGGTCAGACCGATAAGATTACGGTTAAACTTGGCGACGACAGCCCCCTAGGCACCGGCGAGTTGCAACTTAACGTGACCGGCCCCATGAACCCTGCTCCGGCGCAGTGCCGTGCTCTGGCTGAGAGGATTCTATACAAGGACGCCGAGTGCAAGCTTGCACCTTGTTCCTTCAACGGTGTCCACCAGCCCCCACTAGCCAAGACCTTCTCTAAGGAGGATGTCTATATCTTCTCTTTCTTCTACGACCGCACCAAGCCTCTTGGAATGCCCGATTCTTTCACTCTCCGGGAGCTGCACGACCTCGCTAATGCCGTTTGCGGCGGTGAGGATACGTGGGGCACATTCACTAATATTCCAGAGGCCCTAGAGGAGCTACGAGATCGTGGCGAGTACTGCTTGGATCTCAACTTTATGATAGGATTGCTGCACAGCGGTTACGAAATGCCTATTGACCGGGAGGTCAAGATCGCTAAGAAGATCAAGGGCAACGAATTGGGCTGGTGTCTAGGAGCCAGGTAAGCCTATCACGCCCCCTTTCCCTTTTAACTCGATATAAATACTAATATATATTAGTCTACCCTTATTAGCAAAGAACTCCGGCTGGTCCTGCAAGGTCACTCAGACCTTTTAATCCTACTACACGCTACCCTAACAAGATTAGAAATGTGGCTATTGGAAAGTTTAGATAATTAATGATGAGGAGGCATGGACACGGCGGATAACTTAGGTAGTTGCCCTGCGAGGCCGGCGTTTTTCGGATCTGGTTGTAAAAGTGTAGTACGAAATACGGCGCTGGCATTTCCGTCTTCGACGAAGATAAGTATAGGGAATGGGCGAACTATACTATAGGAAGATCACGAATGAAAACATTAGGAGGCAATCAATGTTTAGACCTTATTACTTCTATTATTATATACTATCGAACTATGACTTAACCCTGGGTATCATAACCTATCTATAACGGTGCCTCAACCATACTCAATACATCCTCTATCACATACTCCGCGTCCATACCCTCCAGCAGTGCCTCAATAGCCCCAAGATCACTGCCCCATTGCATGCTACGTTCCTGGCCCGGGGCAGCGATCCGGATGCGATGCGGGTATATCTTCTTAACTGCAAGCCCAACTAGAGACGGGGTAACGTAGTCGAGGCCGTGCAATGCAGCTAGACACTTGGCCAGTTGATCGAGGTGCTTGGTAGCTAAAGGTGTCGCGCCGCCTCCGCCTGGCGCAACGGCTCGATGCATACGTATAAAGGACACGATGTTCATCTGATACCGCAGCACCTCAATTTCCTGGTTGACCTGTCGCGCCTGCAACGCCAGCGTTGCGATATCGGACTCGCTGATAGATGGGAACGAGAATGAAGGTGCGCGTGAGCTAGAGAGGGATATTTGGTCCGTGGCGAGTTGATCTTCCCGGTTTACGTAGGTCGCGCTGCTACGACTTGGACCCGCCCGAGGCGTAGACGTAAGTACGGGAGCGGACATCGAGTCCACGGTGCTCCGCCGAACTACACTCGAAGCACTATCTAGACTAGCCGTCTCTCCTCCTTTTCTATCTTCTTCCTCTTCTAAATGCGCAAAGCCATCCTCGGGATCGTGCCAGTGTGAAACATAAAAGAAGTCATTCAGGTGAGACACGAGCCGTCCCGCACCCGCGGACTCGAGCACGGCCACGAACAGGAACTGCTTAGGTGCTGTCTGCACGCTGGTGCGCGTCAGGATCCGCCTGGTCCGTAGGAGTTCTAGACATTGGATTTGTACATCCTTAGGGGCTCGGTCGAGATTCTTCGCTAGGATTACGTTGGCGATCTGCGGTGATGTCCCGGTAAATGGGTTTTGGTTTCTCGGAGTAGTGGGAGTCGCAGTTCTACCGTGGAAGTAGGATGCATCGGTTCCTCGGCGTCGAAGGGGGGAGGCCGATGGAGTGCGCGGAGTTGGAGGATAGAGCTGCGGTGGTGGTGTAGCTGGGCGAAGCTGGATAGAGGCGGCGAGGTCGTCGAGAGTGGTATGTGGTGTACAATCTACGAGAGCGGATGACAGGTTGAAGGTCTGCGAAACGACGAGTCGTAGTTCTTCAACCAGAGTGTCGAGCTCTTCTGGTTCGGTGCTGACGATGCAGTGTTCGCGACTAACGAGACATAAAAGCGCTGCCAGATCCAAATCCTCCAATCCGTGAATCCTATGCAGGAGATCCTCATCCGCCATCGAATCTCTGTCTAGTATATGCCTCGCTATCCATGGGATCACATCGAAATCATATAGTGAGTTGATCGAAACGCTGTGCTGGCTGGATAAGGAGTTAGGTTAATAAAGTTTAACGAGTATCTAAGTTACCTCTAAATTCGTACAGGGGTTTTTAATTGCTGGGGATAAGCTAGCGGGGCAAGTGCGGACCATTGATGGATTTAGATCCGAGAATCCGAGTCTCAGCTCACATTTATATTTATTCTTCCAAATCAACGTATATAGGTATACATGTTTCTGTTCTCATGCATCACAGACCAACTACTTCACTTAATCACATTAGGTAGGTTCGATGGTACTATGTTAGTATCTAGGTAGATATGACAATAATCATGTCCTTAGCACAATGAGGTTTAACAATAATATAGTTAATCTATATAAAAGGTACATGTTGTACACCTCAAATAGTACATCAGAATGCCTCTCAAGCAAATATAACACGATTCATTCACCTAAGCATTCCAATCCACTCCTCCTTTTCCCTCTCCCTGTTGAAGACCGCCGCTATGTCCATTACAAATCAGTATACCATAGTATATCGAAACGCAGCACCAAACAATAACGCAGAACAGCCACACGCATTACTCACGTCCCTTTCCAGAACTTAGGGTCGACCTTGTCATCTGAGGCGGGTGCCGCCCGGTCGTGACGTTTTTCGAAGTCCTCGTTATGTCTTTCGACTTCCTGTTTTTGTTCGTCACTCAGGCCTTCCTTAACGGCGGGAATCGCCTGGTTATGGATCTTGGGACTAGGTGTGCCCTTGCCCTGAGGACCCTTCAACCCCTCACCTCCATTCTGGCTCGCCGCGTTGGCAATACTCCCGCCAGTGGGACTTCCTCCTGTCTCGGTGGCCTCTTTGGATCTGGATCCCCCGGACTGTGCGCTGGCGTCCTCGGGGGACTTCTGTCCGGATTCATGAGCGGCAGCATTTTTCATACCCTCTGACAAGGCGGCCTTCGTAGGACCGCCTCCTGTCCCCTTACCCACGTCTGGTGGGCTTGGGCCAGGGTGTTCTGATGAATGCTGCGCATCATTTGATGCTGGCTGGTTCTGAGGGTCCTGTCCAACGGGGTCTCCCTCTCCATCACCATAACCTGGTGAGAAGTAACGGGGACTGGCTGAAAAGGTACGGCAAGCTCGAGGAGCGCGTATCCGGGTAGCCCTCAAGGCATTTAAAGAGCTGCTGATACGAATAGCTACCATTGTGAATAACTATAATCCTAATGGCAATGAATACTTTCTTGAACACCAATACAACTTAGGAGAAAATAGACAGAGGTAAGCTTTTGTATAAAAACATTTAATAGCTTAAGATAATAGCAGCCGATTAAAGTAATCATAACTGTGATGCCATAAGGGAGATGATGAAGTATGACATCATGACAAGACTCTGCGATTGAAGATCTACTTGACTCTTGGTAGGGTTTCCTAGAATTTGCCTTCCATACCAGCCATAATGTAGTAGTGGTAGAAATGGAGGCTCTTCGGCTCTAGAAGACCGGGTAGATTAATGTCCATATCGATTTCTTGGGACCAGATACCAAATTCCAGATGATGTTCCGTATTGCTTTATGTATGCGATAGCTTCTAAACTCACACGTCTAACCAAGGTCTATGAAGATAACCATTTGGCTTCTATCAGCTCTTGTCATATGTACCAATGTTTACCTCCTGGTAAGAAAGTCTAGCTCTCTTAAATGTAATAGTCATTTACGATTGAAACAAACCTTAGATGCAACCCGTTAATTTAGAAGACATCATTGAACTTAAATTCATGCACCTATGTGCCTACATGTGGCTTTAATCATTGTTGTTAGGTTAGGGAATGTGGCTGCGACCAGTTAATGTACCTTATGTACCTATTAGCGCCTGATCTCGTGCTCACTAAAGTAACAAGCTACAGCGCCTTATCAGCTAGGATCTGAATCAGGTAGGTATCGGCGCAGGTCCGACCGGCCAGTCGGCCAGCCAGCGCTAATCCATCTAAGCAGCCCCAGGCCTTCAAACAGGTACAATAACATCTGCAACTACCTCGATTCCCGTCTCAACTTCAAACAATACAACACCACGGTCCTATCACGACCTACCATTAACTGTCGCACAAGTTCCGTTACCTCAATCGGAAACCCATTATTCAAACCAGCGCATAAATCCGAGATCTCCAATAATCCCAAATTAAACCCGTGAACAACTTCAATACTGAAGCAACCTACCGAGAGTCTCCAGCTTCACCTCAGATCTCTGCCATGGCTTCTAGGAAAGGGGCTATCTTGAAGGTAACAATAAATACCATTCCGATTGCATACCCATTTCTAGCATGACCTCATAAACTGACACATAATATACTTAGGTTATTGTCCTTGGCGACAGCGGTGTTGGAAAGACGAGTCTGCTGAATCAATATGTATGTTATGATTCCCAACCCGACCAGTTCCCTCCACAGTACCCCGTCTACGATGTCTAAATATCCCGAAACTAATATCCCACGCCGGACAGGTCAACAAGAAATTCAGCGCCAGTTACAAAGCTACCATCGGTGCCGACTTCTTAATTCAGAAGGTTCTCATCGACGACCAACAAGTCACAGTGCAGGTATGATATGGCGGCAAGCTCATCAAAGACGATCGCTGACGAAAAGTAGCTCTGGGATACAGCCGGTCAGGAACGTTTTCAATCTTTAGGCGTTGCGTTCTACCGAGGTGCCGACTGCTGTGTGCTGGTTTTTGATGTCAACAACTCTAAGAGTTTCGATTCGCTAGATAGCTGGAGAGATGAATTCTTAATCCAAGCTTCTCCGAGGGATCCCGAGAACTTCCCTTTCGTAAGAATAATTGTTTTCTCATGATTTAGAACCAGGCTAATCGAACTAAAGGTCGTCCTTGGAAACAAGATCGATGTCGACGAGAGCAAGCGAGTAGTAAGTTAAGATTGATCCGCCATCAGCCGGACCACCCACTCATTATCTATAGGTCTCGAGTAAGAGGGCAGCTACTTTCTGCCAGTCTAAGGGCGATATCCCATATTTTGAGACTAGTGCAAAGGAGGCGGTCAACGTTGAGCAAGCGTTTGATGGTATATCTTACTTCCCTTTTCATCCATGTGCCTATTCTAACCTATATCGTAGTCATTGCACGGCATGCCCTGGCACAAGAGGAGTCCGAAGAGTTCAGTGGAGACTTCCAAGACCCTATCAACATCCACATCGAGAACGACCGCGATGGGTGCGCATGTTAAGGACTGTCAACTAGAATATCAAGGGTATTTTGTCTATTTTATGCGACATCCCACTAATCTTAGAAGTCACTCGGGCTCGGTTGAACCTTAGTCAGCAGCCCGATGCGCTTTCTCAATCATCGTTCAGCTCTTTGTATGGAAGACTTCGGATTTTAGGGGCTTTCATGGACATGTTACAGATGCGGAACAGTGGAATTCTCAGAACCTCGTCCATAATGAGTGTATAGAGAGAGTTGATACATTGCATCTTTGGTTTTTAGTCTCAACAAGGCAGTAAGATACTGCAGAATCGAGGCTTAGGCGTCTTTTCATTATCCAGGTTTACGTATCCAAGTCTCGATTGAGGCATCTCGATATTTGTCAGGCAGCATTCAGAAGTGTTTATTTATTCATATCCTACAGTCTATTTTTCCGATATCGCCTTTAAGTTTGTGACTTTCTTTTTTTTTTTTTGTTGCTGCCTAACCGTGAGTGTTGTGATGATTCGTAGGCCTGCCAGTCACCAGCCAATCTATCATCTATCATCAATCAAGTCAAATGCATGTGCTCCAAATGCATATAGCACGTGCAATTATATGGTAAAATGATCTAATAGGTACCTGAGTACATACTAATCAGTCTTATTAGTGTCCCGCAAGACCTAAAATAACACGCTAGATATGATACGCAGAAGCTCAGGGGTCTTAGTTTTAATATCTCGGCGTCTTGAATGGCCGACGGCGCCGCATCAATAGGATTGAACCCTTCAATGTGCATGTTTCAAACCCTCGAAATTCACCCTCTTTTGGACAGTCTTCGTTCTTTTCTGCTCTCGTGTAGGTGTCTTTATGTCCTTATCGGCCCCTATGTAGACTCGATCCTTGCGACTATCAACGTCGATCCTCTCTTTTTTTTTTGTTCGGATAATAAATGCTTCCGTCTCACGCGACCGTTGTTACACCCCGGCGGGATTCATAGATCACAAAGTGTTTCTACGCCATACTACGCTTGTCAGACGACGATATGGCAGCGCCGGAATCGATAATTACTACGGATGAGAGGCAATCCGGATTTGATGCTCCTAGAAGGAGACTTTCCGAGCCACCAGTACCGTCTGAGAACATGTCCGGGTCATCCGCGTCCTGGGGAAGTATACCAAGCTTGGGAAGAAAGGGAGGGATCAGGAATATGGCCAGGAGGACTCTGGGTATTAGTCTATTACTGGTCACCGTATTCCTGTGGACGGCATCAAATTTCCTCGCCAGCGTGAGTATTCTACGAGTAGCGTTAGGGAGCGCCTCTAGCTAACATAGGTACAAGTATATCTTTTCCGACCACACCTACGATAAGCCATTCTTCCTAGTATATATCAATACGTCCGTATTTGCGCTGTCGATGATCCCTATATCCATAAAACACATAATACAGAATGGCGGCTTTACCCGTGTCAAGAACCAGGCGATGCAGGAGTGGAGAATGAGATACCAAGGGGTAGAGAGGCTAAAGACACAGGAGGAAGAAGAAGCAGTTACAGTAGGCGAGAGGCTATTATCCGATGACGAGGGAAGTTTCGAAATAGTCGATCCGCCGAGGACATCGGACAAGCTCTCGTTTCTGGAGACGGCGCGGTACAGCCTCGAATTCTGCATGATCTGGTTTCTGGGGAACTACTTTGCGTCGGCGTGCCTAGAGTACACGAGCGTGGCGAGCGTTACGATCCTCACATCTACGAGTAGCGTGTGGACGCTGGTATTCTGCGCAGTGATGCGTATCGAGCCATTCTCGATGCGCAAGCTAGTCGGCGTATTGGCTTCGCTCACGGGAATCATCCTTATCTCCACCGTCGACCTCTCGGGCGATAATGACGACAACCGAGGAAACTTCCCGCATAAGAGCCAGCAGCAGATAGCTATCGGCGACGCTATGGCCTTCTTCAGCGCGGTCGTTTATGGGCTGTATGTTGTGGTGATGAAGGTGCGCATCGGAAACGAGGAGCGCGTGAATATGCCCTTATTTTTCGGACTTGTGGGAGTGTTTAATATCCTTTTTCTGTGGCCTCTTTTTTTCATCCTGCATTTTACAGGAATCGAGCCGGTACGTATATTGCCTACAATCATGATAGGGCTTTCGAAAGTCACTAACAACGAACAGTTTGAATTACCTCCAAGCGGGAAAGTCTGGGCAATTATCATACTCAATTCGATATCTTCCTTCATCTCGGACATCTCGTGGGCTTACGCGATGTTACTCACAACGCCATTAGTTGTCACTGTTGGTCTATCCTTAACTATACCACTGTCCTTAATCGGCGAAATGATACAATACGCGCAATACTCCAGCTTCATATACTGGATCGGCGCTGCAATTGTACTAGTCTCATTCATCTTCGTCAACCACGAGAGTCATGACGAAGATGACGATGCGAAAACTAGTCCTGAAAGAGGAACTAGAACGGCAGAGCCGTAGCTTTCTACCCACTAGGTAGCCTTATTAGCCTTGTTTTGTTCTTGAATGGAATTATTAGTAGTAATGCGGCGTCATGGTTATGAGAATTGGGTTTGGCAACTGGTGCATGGATATCAGGCATAACTTAACATATCATAGACAGAATGGATATTCTCGGGCTGTATCATATACGGGACTAAGAGACGGATACCACACGTAACCAACCCACCTAATATGAAGGTTATCTCCGAGTGCGTATGAGTGTTCATAATAAATCATGAAATTCAGCATGTCAACTAAAGTCCGAATAATATATTCCTAAGGCCGTATGAATAGGTGACACTTCTCAAACATTCCCTAACCAGCCTACTTATAACTAGATGAGATTCGATTCATAAGCTAGCCCATGTGAGATATAAGATACTAGTCATAAGACATATTATTAATGAAGTATGGAAGTAGATAACAGTCACGCATCCTATTCCCGTAGGCGAGGTTAAAAGATGTTGTCATCCACTTATACGAAAGCTCTCACGATAATCCAAATTACCTATGACTAACATCCAAAATCCGCCAACAACAAACTCTAGATACCCTAGAGCATAAGGTACCTATTTAACCTATATACGTACCTAGGTAGTATTTGACTCGGCTCGGGGAAACTAACCTAGACTGCAACAGCGCTAGCCTCCGAGGTGATAGTATATTTTCTAAACCAAGCGGTGAATGACATCAGTAGGCTCCCGATCCGAACCATTCATTCGGGGTTTTTAGATCGTTCTAATTTGAAACATGAGTGTTTGTCTCTTATAGTAACCTGCTTAAAGCCAGGGATGCGCCGTAACTACCTAGGTAGGTAGAGACATACACATGTGAGTACATATATGAGGTAAGTAGCCGCTCCCTTCTACGGGATGTCGAGTTCGTTTGAACTATAGACATTGAAGCCTGATGCAAGTATCCTAGTTAGGGTATTGTGGATTGCTTGCGTGGCAACTCAGTGGTTTTTCATGCTCGCTGCCATCGGCGCTGCCACCACTCACTTGGCTTGAGGCATGATTTGTTTGACTGGTTCGGGGTTGTGAATTTTATGTGTGCACGACAGAGCCACAACGTCTCATTTTGGTTTGTCTTTCGCACCGGATTGCCCGAGTTATTTATCACCCACGGTTGCAAAAGCGCGTGGTTGCCTCTCGTTGGATCGTCTCGCCGTCTATATATCCGAGTGTTCTCACCTTGTTTAACAAGACCAGCAACCACCATTCCTACCTTATCCACTAGTCAGTATAGTAGGCACAGCCAGACACTTGCCTTGGTCATATGTAAACGTCGTTAGTTATTTCTTCGGGAAATAATCTTGGTCGTGACTGGGAGTGTGACTTGACTCTTACAAACAACAGTCACCTGCTCAACCACCGAACCAACTACCTTAAGTCAGGCTTCACTTAGTCCTACTCAGCTTTCTCCGACATACCTACATCTATTTAATCTTTAATGTTGCAACTATCAACCTACATAACCTAAAAACCAAAAGTACTATACTCTCTCTAACCTTGATTTTCCATCGCTTATCAATATGCCTTCCAAGACTGAAAACACTACTACCGCTACTCCTACTCTGGGCGAGGAGATCAATATCGCTATACGCCCATTACATACCAAGCTCAACAAGCTAGTTACCCGTCGCTTGCGTCTAGCTCTCCCTCCACATTCTGACGATGCGAAAAACTATGTCACAGGGCTACTGCACATCGCGCCCATCTACCAGGCCTTCGAGAGGGAATGGGACCATATTTTAGAGGACTCCCCTGCTATTGCAAATATAGAGCCTCGGATACGTTCGCTTTTAGCAGACATACGCGTAGAGGGCTTCGCGCGGTCGGGACCACTACAGAAGGACATCGTTACGCTACTCGGGCGGAACGATGATTTTGTACGCTCGCGAACGGAATCGGTATCTCATGCGCCTGTGCTAGTCGAATTTCAGAAGCATATCCGCGAGGCTGTTCAAGCACGTCCCCACATCCTAGTCGCTTATGCTTGGGTCATGTACATGGCGCTCTTTGCCGGGGGACGTTATATTAGAGCGTCGCTCGAGCGAATTGACCAGAGCACCGGGTTCTGGTCAAGTCTAGAATCCTCCTCCGACAAACCCGAGCCCGAGTTTAGAATGCCTGGTGCTTATGACGCCTTTTGCGTCAAAGATGTTCTCCGAAAGCAAAACATGCAACCGCCGCCTCTGAACTTCTTCCTCTTCGACACGCCGGAGAACGGCGAGGATTTAAAGAGGTTATTCAAGGAGGCGCTGGAAACGGCCACCTCGCCTCCGGAGTCAAAGTTGACGGAAGATGAACGCGCCGATGTAAAAAAGGAGGGGCTGACTATTTTCGAGTACATGGTCCGCATCGTGGGCGAGTTAGACGAGATCTGTGGCACGGAGTACGAAGAGCAAGCCGCCGCCGCCGCAGCAAAGTAGGGATCTAAAGGGAGGCCGCCGCCACCGGTGAGCTTGAAGAGTCGCGATAGCGTGGTTATGGAGAGGGAGAAGAGGATGAGGGCGGCTGCGAAGGGGAGAAGAGTTGGAAACGGTGTGAAGAGGGGAGAGACTGCACCTCCGGATTTGGGCGAAGGTAGTAGGGGTGGAAAAGGGACCGTAAGGTTTCGAGAAACCGGACGAAAGAACCAGGATACGGAGGGATACAAAGACTGATTGAATTATGGGTAGGGCTAGGGTGTCCGGGCATTAAGTTGGTGTGAGCATGAGATATCCTAAACTACATTTCCGGGGAATAGACTTGCGTTTCTTTTCATAGACACATTATACATGTTATATTCTAAGAACAACTTGTCAACCCAGCGTTTAACTACGATTTGGTAATAAGTGCAAGACAGTTACACAACGCCGCGGATAAATTTCTACTTATTAGTTGGGCCATCTCTTTCCACGAACCAGTGGATTGAAGGTTTAGTATGTATGATTTTACGAAGTATGAATCTCCTTTAGGTATTATAGAACATACACTTGACCATATGACTGGCTATTCTAAGACAAGCATAGAGAAAAGAGCATTTAATATAAATGCACCAAGAACCATTAACGATTACTCGTATCGGCCAATCTCTTGAACTAAGATATTTGCAACTCATTATTATACTTGACTTTTCTAATATAGTTACTAATTGATAGTATTATAAGTTTGGTAATAGGCAATTTTGGGGTTAAGTCATTTTACAGCATTCAAGTTAATTAGGAGTAGAAACCGTAGTTACTAACCCCTATAAGTTAGACACAAGACTCAACTATGAAGTCATTAGTTATTAAGATTTTGCAAAACTTTTTCTTCTTTAATATTTCAAAACAAGAGCTCTAGCTAAAGCTCTCAAACTACCAAACACGCTGCAGCTATCTGCAACGAGCTATGCTGTCTAATACACATGGTATGTAATGCAATGGTGGGGGCGCGTAGGCCCCCCTCTCTCTATCCGTCTGTCCGCCTCGCAGGGCGGAACTGGGTATCATCAAACGCTTTTATGAACGAGAAAATAAAGTGCTGGGAAGTGGTTATTAGCTGTCTCTTGGTGAGTATGAGACATGGTAAGGCGCGTGTATGTATGCATGAGGTATGTAGGTAGGTAGGGCAAAATCCCCTTTTTTAGTTAATAATTCCGAACACCTGGGATGTACTGGTCGTGTATGTCTTGGATAGGGTATAGCTGAGTTAATTACAAGGAATACGGCATTGGTATTAATCGTTATAAGTGTATAGGTATAAATTATGACCATTCGTGGAGGTTATTTGTGGTATGGTGTGGAAATCCTGTTTCTGGGATCCTTATTAGTTGAGATATAGTCGTGATTTGGCCGCATACGGCTTATGCTTCGGTTGGAACTTCGTTGGCACGGATCCAAAACTGTTCGCTCGTTTATATTCTGTAGGAAGTACAGACCAACAGCATGGAGCCGGGACGCGTAGCCGCCTTATCGAATATCGTCGGTACCCAAAAGTTTGTCGCACGAATTCCAAACTCGACCTTATATCGGATTCTCCATGCCGATGGGCGGAACAGGCGGTACAACCGTCGCACTACTCTCGCCGCTCTGGGAAACAGCGGTGGCTTGCGTCACGCTAGGACTTGGTCTTCCGCCGCTCCGCGAGCTTCCCGCTCCTAGGCCGCGCTTCATCATCTTGCCGAGCACAGTCACAAGTTCGCACGCGTCATCGTACATATCGTCATCCAGGCCCTCAGTCGCTTCGTACACCTCCGTGATCGTCTGCTTCGCTAATCGTCGGCTTCCCTCTCGGTCGTGAACGCAATCGTATAGGAATGCCGCATACTCTGTTTTTACAGAGAGCCGTAGCGAGTGCGATCCCCATAGTAAATTGTCTGCTAACGAGATGGCTTCTCGGAAGTACTGGTGCGCTGTTGGTAAGTAGTCTACGGATGGTAGTAGAAAAGCGGCCGCCGCTTCTGGAGTGAAGTTCGGCATCTGCACTTGTCCTTCGAAACCGGGAGGCGGTGCTGGTATGCCTTGCTCGTACGGATGAGTTGGTTGTACCGACGATCGCATGTACTCGGGCGGTAAGAATGCTGCCGGATTACTCCTATCCACGCCCTTCCCCTTATCAACTCGTAACGGTTCTGGCGTCATCTCCGCGGCAAGAGCCTGAGGTGTCGTCGCAATTCCCATTGGCGAAACCGGGGGATTATTATGGAATAGGACGAAGATGTGATAAAAGGATGCGCGTAATTTGTACGCGAGAACCTTGAGCTCAACGTAGTCACCAACCATTGGTAAAACATACTGCTCGAGCATCACGAGGCCTTCACGCGAGAGCCATAATATGTGAAAGTAGAGCTCGAGAGACTGAGTCACGCGCGTGGTATCGAGGCGGCGCTGTTTGCGCGCTTTTACTAACTGTCCGGCTACATTGATTGAAAGTCCTAATATCTTAAACAGCATCGATGCGAGTAGCGCATTATTGGGCTCGACAGATTTTGCGAGGCGTCCGAGGAACTTCTGGTCCACCTCGGAGGACGCCATCGAAAAGATCGTCGGAAAGGGGGTGGATACCGGGGTCCTATGGTTATGTGAGAAACTTGCTTAAGCCTGTTATACCATGTAAGAGGGTTGAATGATAATTGCGAGCATAGAGGTTATAGGAACGACTGAAATGAAATATGGTCTTAATATTTGCAAGGTTCTTCGTTGTACAGGTAACACAGGTGGATGAGGATATCTCCATGGATACTAGAAAACGTATGATAGAAGGACCTATAGGGGCAATGATTTTATACAGGATTAACATACCTTACAAAACCTGCTGCTTTCCAAGAAAAACTTCCTTCCCTAAGAGGCGTGCTGGTCGACAAGCCCAAACTGAATTGCTTCCACTAGCTGCAAACGACTTCGATAACGAATGACTGGCAACGCGACTCAATCCCAATATGAGCATGAGAAGCAGTCGTTGCTGGAAGAGTCGAAAACACGCGAGTGGACTTAAAGCGTCGTCCCAATTCCGTAGTTCGTGTTGGTCCTTTTTCCTGTTTAATGTAGACAAACTCCAAGTCTGATAAAGACGACTGACTTCCTACACAAAACCTGGTCCAAGAAGTACAACGCAACCAAAATTAAACATTCGAAAATATTACAGTAGACTAGCGTCGCGAAGTATTAGCTGGCGCAATCTCATCGGCCACAGCTACCCTAGTAAGGGCTGCGCTGGCACTGCTATTGGAGGGGGGGAATACTGACCAATATGATACAGCGAAAGTAATACAAGGTGACAGACCCAAGTCGCAAGTCCAGAATTGGGTCAAAATGGGCACAAAAAATAAATAAATTTAGACAGATGTAAAACAAAAAGGAGGAAATGGGTTTAGGGTAAGTGAGGACAGAGGCTGAGGTAGGGCTGCGGCGGCGGCGACGATGGTGGTGGCAGGTGTTCTAAGACTTATTCGACCGTGAAGCATTTCGACGTCAGTAGCGCGCGCACCCCTTCCGCTGATCAAGCGAGCGTGCGTGCGAGCGAATAGTACAACCACAACAACGGCTAGCCGGGATAAGTCATATACATATAGGTAGGTAGTGTATGTATGTAGGTACCTAACCTAGGAGATCTACGCCGGACAGGGGGGGCAAGTTGGCAGAAAACCTGGGAAAGCAAGCTGGTCGCCTTTTCGTGATCCCAAGGAACCAAGTGAATGGTGGCGGTGTGAGGTCAACAAGGGCCTTCCTCGATTGGCGAGTTTCCAGGCTTTTGGAACGGATGTGGAGTTTTGGTCCGCTACAAGACTGGTCTGGTATATTATAATGTCGAATAATGTCGAAAAACTCTTGGCCCCCGCGAACTTCTTTTCTAAGCGGCTCCAGAAGTCGACATTAGCGTTGGGCGTTCTCATAGGTCGTCTTTTACAGTGAGATGTGTGTAGTAAGTGGTGTGGTTGGGCGATGATGATGATAATGATAATGATGCACGAGCCTCGAGCGTTTCTCTGCTGTTCAATAGGAGGCACGCGGCGTATGTAGATAATGTTTTATGTGCTCGTGCTTATGCATGTATCTGCATATGTAGGAATATACGTCCTGGCTAAAGATTCGCGTGGGAACAGAATAATAAAATAACTAATTATTCAGGAGAACTGCAGGATGAACGAATATTCTTTGCAGCAAGCAACAGACTGAGCTTCCGAGGTCGTCTCGCCGTACGGTTGCATATACACGCGTCCGCGTCGGATCGCTATAAGCGCTCGCCTTCTGGATGCGACGCTAGACTGGGGAAGCGCGAGGCTAAGGGGCAAGGGGAAGTTAGGTAGAGGGAAAGGAGATAAAAGAAGATATCGTGTCAAGAAGCCATATCCAAATAACCACGAGCCTTGTGTAGTACTGGTTACCGGGTGCAGACAGTTTAGTTTCCGATCTCTAAATAAGAGAACGTGCTGCGGGTGACAAGCGAATGAGAGGCCGTTTATCGTGCAGCAGCTTTAATGCAAGATGAGTTGTCCACTTTGCCGGGGGACTTGCTAGTAGTAGTAGCAGAGCTTAGAGAGCCTAAAGCCTTAGAGCTGTGGTCAACAAAGACCGGACGGGAGGTCTAGTTTTGACTCCAACAAGCTTCCTAGGATTCGGGTCCGAGATGGAGTTTCGAGTCTTGGACGCTGTGGAACTTGGAAGCATATAATATAATAGTTAGGCTCTTGAGACTTTATGATACTATTATCGGCCGGCTCTATCGAAGTCCCCAAGTATGGTCTCGGTAGAGTTGATGCGAGAAAAAAGAAAAGGAGTAATTAAAAGTTCGGCTTGACGATCCTAGAAATTACATACATGAATACTTTTTTTTTTGGACTTTTATGACGGGTCCAGCCGCCACGCGCGCAAACACGTCCCAAAGAGTGATATTTTCCAGGAACGACAGGGTTCAGGGGACTTATTATCAACGTCTTTATCTCCAGCTTCCCCCATCCCAGACTTTTTTATTTTAAGTCTGGTCACTTGAGTCAACTTAACGACGATGGTTATTACGATATCAAGCCTATTGGACAGTGGCTTCGTCATCGAGACAATGGTCTATATATGACGGTTTCATTTCTCGACTTTCGAGTCTACTGTCTTTAGTGCTTAAAGTTCTTTATATATAATTCGAGTTTTAAAGCATGGGTGAAACCTCGTACCCCCGTACTAACAAGCTCTTAGGTGTCGTTACATACTACCTCGGCTCTCTACATCATCATTCGAGTTTCTTTTCTCAAGTTGTTCTCGTACTTAGAGTTACCAAGACGATATTCTTGTGCCAGTGTCCATCCCGTAGCTACGGGTTTTTAGTCTACGGGCTAATGCCACGATACACTGTCTAAGACACTTGAAGCACACTCATGTGGCATAACCCGTGGGGCGCAAAGTCAAATTAGTGGTTTGGCTTAAGGCCAAGCAACGGAGAGACTGTACGATTTCGTCTCGTAGCCCACGGCTAGCGACGACCGTGCTACGGGAACACGCTCGGGTTATCCATGTGATGTATTCCCAAGATACAACCGGCTGGGAGTTTATCGAATTCTACTCTTTTCGCCCAAGCACGACGATATTCTTCGGTTCAAAACCGTAGATAATAGCGCTGATACGCGTGCGTCGCATTACCATAGTTTGCTATGTCGCGGATGCTAACAGGGGAGCCTGGCCGGAGGAAAGCCATTGACCAATAGCCAACAAGGAGAATCAGATCCCGATCCCCCAGCCACCCGATTTTCTAATTCGGCGTAGGCTGTAGCTAATAAGTAACGCGTTACTATTAATAATGACAAGCTGGCTCTCTCGATTTACGCATATAGAAGCATGGTTAGATGACCTCACGAATCGCTATAAAACAAGAGAGTAAGAATAAGAGAATAAGAAAATAGTGTATTGGTTTGCTCCGCTTCGGGTCTTCAAATATGCGGCCTATCGAGTTATCCGTCCACTCAGCGGCGCCCGTCAATCTATTTGCCAGGCTACGGAACCTGCGGCCATCGTCACAATCCTAACTACGTAGATGCGGGAAGCTCCACAGCGACTGTCGACACGCGCAACAAACGGGTTGTATAAACTGGCGGTGAGGAATAACGCAGCAACGCGTTTTCTTCTCTCTTCCTCCTCCCTTCTCCCATGCAAGTGCTGCAGTAGGATCGTTCAGCTGCAGTTGGTAACCGGTTCTGGAATTTTGCTGTCCTCGGTAATGATGATGTGATCTCGCTGGAAGAGGAGGATCGGGTAAGCTTAGCTACATATCAAAGGGCAAAACATACCTTAGATACATACATATAGGAGGACTTGGCCAAGTTGTTTCAGTATGTCTAACCGGCAGTTCGTCAGCTGCACGCATATAATCAGCGTCGTTCTGATTCGGTAGCTGCATGTCACAGCAGCTTAAAGTATGTCTGCATGCAGCCCTACAAGCAGAATGTAATTACAAGCAGCATGCTAAGGGCTTGATTGGATCAAGTAGAGTGCCCATGATTGACCGAATTTTATTGACCTAGCCTTTGATTTGTTCATCTGATATGAGATTGCATCGTAGTTCGACGTATAAGATAAGGCATTTCTTGCTTGTAGTTTAATAACGAGAGCTTTACTCAACTGATGGAGGTAGACATACATCGACTAACCTCCAACTATAGCATGGGCGTAGGTAGGCTGATTGGGGCATACTTTTTTAGTGCAATGTGTTGACACTTAAAGGGCCGGCTTACAAAAGGGGTATACTTTAGGTAGGCTTTGGGCTTGCATTTGTGTAATCAGCCTTGAACTACTCTTCTGTAGGTATGTAGCATAACGCTTGAAGATTCTCCGACAATTTCGAGGTCAACCTATTTTCTGGAAAGGTATTTCGTTATTGTTTTAATTCCCTGATTACTATTTGAGTAATCCTAGTGTACATTACATACATTCATGACTTATATGCTCCACAGGAAATATACATTATAACGCAGACAAAGCGTTGGTCAGAAGGCTACAAGACACCAAACATCAAAATCATAAAAGCTGTACCGAGAAAACTCATTAAATCTGAACTCATGCGCAGAAGGGAGCTTATTCTCCAAGCTCTAAAGCAAATATAGGGGTATAATCCAGAGCCTGTAATGCTCAATGCTGAATACTAGTTCCGACCCGACGCCATGCTGTAACCTTAACCTTACTTTCATTTACTCGTCGTCATCGAGCTGATCCCAGTCGTCTCCAACATCTGCCCAGCCGCATCCCCAACGTCGACCACCTGTCTCGCCACCTGTCCTCAGGTCCGCCGCCTCTTCTCTCCCCTCGCTCCAGCATCGAATCAAGTAGTCGTCGCCCACCGTTACGAGTTTACCCTCGCTTGTCCAAGTCAATGCGCCAACCTCACTTTCGTGTCCTCGAACGAGTGGCGCCCCCATTCGAACAATAGGTATATCATCGTTAAGTCTGGCCGAGAGATTGGCAGTACTATTGGTCCGGAAAAGCGGCCTACGCACCGTATTCGAGTCCGTAGATGAGAAGCTTGAGTTCAATACCGTTTGTTTCTGAGAAACACCTATCGTAGAATCTTCTAGACTTAGAGAGCCCATTGCACCAAGAAGGTCATCCCTGAAATATCGCTCCTGTGTAGGGAACAACATAGCACAAGAGTCGCTGCTCCCCACAGCTAAAAGCTCGCTCTTGCCATCACGGGCTGGCCTGACGGCGGCTTTGACGTAAAAGCTAGTCGCATGAAACGACGGATGTCGGAACCCGTACAGCGGCCCTAGGCCTTGGTGAGGTACCGCATTGTGTCGTCGTCGGGGAGGTTCGCCGTTTCGTGTTGAGAGTTCCGGAGCGTGTCCTAACATGAGATGGGCAGTTGAATAAGCATATACAGTATTGTCCTTGCACACCGCATATAGTCGAGAGGCATCGGTATTGAGTGCTAGGGATGAGATCCCAAAGGGTCTCCAATGCTGATGCGAAGAGGGTGGGGCGGTTACAGACAGTGGGGAGGGAACCTTCTGGCGAGATGAATGTATGGCGCGGATATCCCAAAGTTTGATAGAAGCATCCGCCTCACATGCAGTAAGTAGCAGGTGCTCTTGTCCTGAGGGTAGAAATTGGAGTGCCGTAACAGATACATCACCTACCCGGTTTGGTAGCTCACGGTGCGATGGAATATCCCCAGGTCCAAGGTTTGATGCTTGCTGAGCTTGGCGTGATGTGCGTACATGAGCGTGATATAGACTATTGATAGCACAGCCTTGCTTGGGTGCTGGGCGCCGGTATCGTAAAGCGACTTCACGTTCCTCGGGTGCTAAGATATCCCGCACTGGTTTCCCTGCGCAACGAAGATCCCATATTTGAACACTTCCGTCGCGGGAAGACGTTGCGAGGACATTGCCATTAGATTTGCCCGGTTGGAAACGAACTTGCTTCAGGGAGGCGGTATGATGTTGAAGAATCGCAATTGGAGTCTGTGTCATCATATCTATAACTCTTCCGGTTTGATCGCCAGATGCAGTAGCCAGACGGTAATCGTCATCAGAGAAAGACAAGTCGATAATGGCATTTGTGTGGGCCTGGAAACATAGATGAATCTTGCGGAATGGTTCAGATGAACCACCAGACGACTCCAGTAGACGAACTCGACCTTCCTCATCTCCTACTGCTGTCAAACTGTTCTTGTGACAGGCGGCAGCACAAAATGGTATGCATCGGCCTTGACCGTCGTGACTATTGCAGGAATGAACATCGTCGGGCTTGCTGTAAAAGTCGGCAGCATCTATTCTCCAGTCCGAGGCTGGGCATGACATGAAAGAACGTCCGGCCTGAGGCATCCCCCCTAATTGTCTTTGCGCAAGTTGGCCGGCAAACCCGCGACTCGTCAAAGGTACGAGTCGTCTCATTGGCATTGACCATGATGGGAGTTCGTCCTCGCTAACATCATCATCCAAATCGATATCCTCCTGACTAGAACGAATAGATCTAATTGGGCTGAGCAAGGCTAGCCTAGTATCCGGTGACGCTTCAAATCCAACATGGTTCGATTGGAAGATTAAAGGGGGTCGACAAGGTGAAGAATCGGGAGTATGGTTGAACTTTCGTCTTTTAGGTGTTGGAGCATCCACGGCATTGGCATTCTCGTCTCGGATATTTTGCTCCGAACGAGGTCTTAATGGACTAGAGGGAGCGGGCGTCTGATAACGATTGTTCATCTCAGGGGCGGCGAGATCCTTTAGAGCTTTTCTTGCCGGGCTGATACGTGTAGGTACTCGAGAGCGAGGAGTGAAAAACCGTCGGAACTTCCTGGGAGTAATAGATGGGTTTCTTCTCTCCTTGCCATTCATGACCCTGGGCGGGGAGAGGAGCCTTGAGTTTGATGCATCGTCGGCCATTATAGCTTTTGCTTCTGCTTCTGCTTCTGCTTCTACTTTTGCTAGGTCCACAACTTGCCTCCACAGGAAGGACAGATGCCGCCGATGACCTTAAACCCTTGGAACCAGATATCTAACCTAGTATCAAGAGGATAGATGGGGACAATTTAACATAATAGACAATAAAGTAACTAAGATAAGCTTGAATTGACTTGAAGAGGATAACAAATTGAATAGTAATGGTGGGGAATAAGATGGTAGGTAAGGATTCTAGCCGGTTCGGAGGTAAGAAGTTTGAACAGTATCCATAGACACGCCCGCGAAAAGACGCGAGAACACGAAAAACCACTTACACGACCCAAAAAGGCAATGACGTTTTTTAGAGACCAGGGTTTAACGCGTGGGTCTTAGTATTGGTACTGTGTCAAAACCTAAAATTGAGATGATTGTGGCGGGTGCTAGGACCGTCTATTACCTAAAACCGTAACCGACAGTCCTAAGATAGCCAATAAACGCCATTTTCTTTTGCCTTGTGCATCTAGCACAGTATGAGACTAAAACTTCACACGAATAATCACTAATCAATGCGCCACTGATAAATCTGCCAAGAGTTTTTATCGACATTCCCGATCCACTGATAAGCTTATCGAAGAAATAATTCCTCGAAAATTTCCAAAGATTGATGCGGGACACATGAACTAATTGCGCCAGCGACAATTATTCACAGTCGACTCATTATAAGCCGTGTTCATTTGGTCAATTCGTGGCCACTTGAAACAAAATGGCCATTCAGAAGAAACACGGAAAGGGGCGTCTCGATAAGTGGTATAGATTAGCCAAGGAGAAAGGATATCGAGCCCGAGCTGCTTTCAAGTTAATCCAACTAAACAAGAAATATGGTTTTCTCGAAAAGAGTAAGGTCCTTCTGGATCTCTGTGCTGCTCCTGGAGTAAGTTATATCCATATATAAGACGAGATAATTATCAATTAACTGTGTGTTATAGTCATGGTGTCAGGTAGCGGCAGAGGCTATGCCAGCGAACAGTCTTATTGTTGGAGTCGATCTCTCCCCGATTAAACCTATTCCAAAGGTTATAACCTTCCAGAGCGATATTACTACCGAAAAGTGTCGTGCGACAATTAGACAACATTTGAAGACGTGGAAAGCCGATACCGTACTTCACGATGGTGCTCCCAACGTTGGAACTGCTTGGGTCCAGGACTCCTTCAACCAGGCAGAGCTTGTCCTCCAGTCTATGAAGTTAGCAACAGAGTTTCTTGTTGAGGGCGGTACATTCGTCACCAAGGTTTTTAGGTCGAAAGAGTACAATAAACTCCTTTGGGTCTTCAACCAACTATTTACCAAAGTCGAATCGACAAAACCCCCGTCTTCGAGAAATGTCTCCGCTGAAATCTTCGTCGTATGTCGTGGCTTCAAGGCTCCTAAACATCTCGACCCAAGGTTCCTCGACCCACGGGCAGTGTTCGCCGAACTGGCAGAGCAGGCCCCGAATAATGAGGCTAAGGTCTTTAAACCTGAGGTGAAGAAGCGGAAGAGAGGAGGTTATGAAGAGGGCGACTATACCCAGTTCAAGGAGATTCCTGCAAGCCAGTTCATTGAGACTATTGATCCTATAGCGATACTCGGTAGCTATAATAAGCTCTCCTTTGAGCAGCCACGCAACGGTGATGTGGCGCTCGCCGCGCTGGACAAGATGCCCGATACTACGGAAGAAATTAGAATAAGCTGTGCAGACTTGAAGGTTCTAGGCAGGAGAGAATTCAAGCTTCTACTGAAATGGAGATTAAAAGCCCGCGAGGCTTTCGGTTTGCCGACTAAGAAGACCTCGAAACCCGCCGAGTCCGAAGAGGAGGTTGCGGAAGTCGAACCTATGGACGAGGAATTAAAGATTCAGGAAGAGTTGCAGGCATTGAAAGATAAGGACAGCTCCAAGAAGAAGCGTGAACGACGGAGAGAGAATGAGAAGAAGCAGAAGGAGATCGTACGGATGCAATTGCACATGGTTGCCCCTATGGATATCGGTATGGAACAAGTTGGTCCTGCTGGTCCCGACTCTATGTTTGCTCTTAAGCCCATCGACAAACACGGAGCTGTCAATAAAATCGTAAAAGGAAAAATGGCCATCCTTAGTGAGTCAGAGGCTAGGAAAGACAGAGACAGTGGTATTGGATCTTCAGGTGAAACGGATGACGAAGAGGATGAAGAGGAAGACCGTCTGGAACGCGAACTCGATAGCATGTACGATCAATACAGGGAACGGAAATCAGAGTCAGACGCGAAATACCGGGCGAAAAAGGCCAGGCAAGAGCACGACGATGAGGAATGGGAAGGTGTGTCAGCCGATGAACAACAGTCCAGCGACGATGGCGAGCTAGATGAGGATAGCAGTGACGACTCCGACGATGATGACTCGGAGCCCTCAAAACCGCTCCTCACTGATTTAGATAACCAGCCAGAGGGATCCAGCGGGCTTTCTAAACGAGCTGCGAATTTCTTCAGTCAGGATATCTTCAAAGATATACCAGGTATCCTCGATGATGAAATGGACATAGACGAGGATGAGTCCTCCAAAGTTCAGAAACCGGTAACTATAGCAAAGGAGAAGACGAAGGCCAAAAAGGAAAAGTCAAAGAGAGCCAAGGTTGAGGTGCCATCCGAATCTGAGGATGATCAGGATGGATTTGAAGTTGTCAAACAAGATCAAGATATGGAAGAACGCTGGGAAGACGAAGACAAACGCCGAGCTGATGGGACACTGGGTAAGAATGACGTATCCTCTATACCTCGCAACATTATATGCTAATAAGTATAATAGATATCGACATCATCACCGCCGAAGCTATGACGCTCGCGCATCAACTCGCCACAGGCCAAAAGACTAACTACGACGTAATAGACGACGGCTTTAACAAACGCGCCTTCCGGGATCGCGACGGTCTACCCGACTGGTTTATAGACGACGAGGGCAAACATGACAGGCCACAGAAGCCCATCACGAAGGCCGCAGCGGCCGCCATCAAAGAGAAGACGCGTGCATTGAACGCGCGACCCATCAAGAAGGTCCGCGAAGCTAAGGCGCGCAAGAAGTTTAAGGCGGCGCAGCGCCTCGAGAAGATCAAGAAGAAGTCGGATCTGCTAGCCAGTGAGGAGGGCATGACGGAGAAGGAGAAGGCCGATAGTATCTCCAAGCTGCTGTCCAAGGCTGCCAAGAAGAAGCCTAACAGACAGCCTGCTAAGCTGGTCGTTGCTAGGGGTCTAAATAGGGGTATTAAGGGCCGGCCCAAGGGTGTTAAGGGCAGGTATAAGATTGTGGATGCTAGGATGAAGAAGGAGCTTAGGGCGCAGAAGAGGATTTCTAAGCGCAAGTAGATGGATGTCATGTAAGATCTTGGAGGACTCGTATATATTGAAAAGAGTGTCGTTCTGCGGATTACTAATTGTAACACTGGGTTTTACATATGGTATAGACTTGCAAGAGACAACATATTGAGACAGTGTATGATGCACATTCATACAGTTAATCAAGTAAAAAACAGCATCTTCAATGCAGATCAAGACATATTCTCTTTCCCTAGACATAACTCCTTGATTTGTGAGGCTACTTTGGTATCTCTACGACAATTATGCTTTTATCCCAAGTCCGAAATCTGACTGCTTTACGAACTTCTCCTTATTCCTTGCCACAGACAGCTCAACCCCTTCTATTTATACACTACCGCTTACCAGCGCCTGCGTTCCTCCGATTCTTGCCTAGACGCGGCTTAACCGGCTTTCCACCCCTTGAGCCACCGGACTTCATCTTGCGAGCGTTGAAGGAGCTCAGGTCACCGGAGCTGACGGCGTCACCAGACTTGGCGTGGCGCTTCTTGCCGCCGAAGCCGTATTTTTCGTTCTTCTTTTGGCGCTTGGGACCGGCGCGCTCACCGTCCTTACCACGCGAGAAGGCACGCTGGGCATTGTGCTTGCCTATCTCGTTGTCGACGCCGACGTCGAAGAGATCTGCTTCGGTAGTGCCGAGGTCGCCAGAGGTTTCTTGGCGTTCTAGGGGACGTTGTTAGTATAATAGAACATAACATAGTAAACAGCAATGAAATTCATAGAGGCACTTACTCCTCTTGAGCGTCTTGATCTTCTCAAGCGTCTCGCGCTTTTCCTTCTGCCGTTCCTGGAGCTTGGCGACTTGGACCTGCTTGCCGAACTTCTTGAGGTCGCGCTGCTTGCGGGCCTCGGCGGAGGCCTTCTTGGCGCTCGCATCTTCGACTAATTTTGCCTTGACCTTCTCCATGTGTCCGTCGTCCTTGACCATCTCGGCGAAGTAGTCGGTTGGTCGCGAGAACGGGACCCCTTCGGCCTTGAGTAGTGCGCGCGCACGCTTTGCGGCGTCGAGACTTTGCGCGTAGAAGGCGAGTTCGCGTTTTAGGTCATCCTGGATGTCCTCGATGCTGCCGGCGGTGGGCTCAGCGCTGACTATGCATTGATGTGTTGCGAAGGGGACTGATTTGTCGGTGGGTATGGATATGCGGCTTAGAGAGGCGAGGAGTGCGGTGGTGTTGTTGATGGTGAGGCGTGAGTGTGGGACTAGGTCTTCCTTCTCGTCGTCAGGTAAATCTTCCAGATCGGACATTGGTATATCTTCGTCATCTTCTTCTTCTTCATCCTCTTCTTCATCTTCGTCGACATTTTTCTTTCCATTTGCCTTTGCGTTCTTCGCTTTTAATACAGATTTTCGCGGGCGCTCTATCTTGTCCTCGAGATCTATCGACGAGTCGGAGCTATCGCTTTCATCCAAGGCGGCGAGGTCGATATGTTCGTCCTCATCATCATCTTCTTCGGCCTCGTCATCTATGAGTCCTGCGCCACCTTCAATCTCATCCTCATCTTCATTGACACCCTCCCAGTCGCTATCGTCTTCATCGGCAGCCCCACCATTCTTAGGTTCTTTCTCCTGTCTCTTCTTAACTCTTTCCTTATGCTTCTTCTTTTCCTTCAATTTCTTGAAGTCAACTCCTTTCTCTGCCGCAAGGGCAACTTTCAGCTTGCTTTTACCCATAGTTGTGGTTTCAATTGGGAATTGTTGTATTTTGGTTGGTTGATGGCTGATTGCGATTGAACGTGAACTTTTCCGACTGATAACTTTAATCTTCAGAACTTTTTTTTTCTGCCGATAAGCTAGGAAGCTGTGGCTAATCTAACCGGTGGCTAATGAAGGCGGTGTGGTGGACTGGAGACTGCCCCGTAATTTAAAAATGGGACCAGTTCACCTCACTTCAACCTTGAGGCTCAACTCAAAAGTCTACCGCCTAACACTTACAATATGTGCTTCTAGCAATTATAAATTTAAAATCTACCTATTATGTGACTCTAGTATTTAAGAAACTACTATGCAATTGGAAGTTCTACTCAAGTTTATTTGATTAGGCCTATTTATGTGCTATTAAATTTCCTGCGACGATTTACCCGCCACGATTACGTAAGATAGGGGCATACACAATATTATCGAAGCAAGACGAGTTGTAGAGATATAGTTATTAAAATATTAGGTATGTTAAGTATGAAGAAGGGTGAGTAGGGGGGGATACTCTATATAACAGGGGCGTTACGTCAAACTAAGGGACTATCACCCGCAGCCAGTGAGCCCACGCTAAAAAAAAATTGTTCTAATGACGAAGGATATCCAAAGGAAGCTCTTAACAGGTATCTTATACGTAATAATTCTACAATATAACCTACATTAATACATGTCACTTCACATTGGATCACACAGTGTTTATGGAATAGGACTGTATAATGAGAGGGGAGTTGATTTATATGGTGAGGATTGTCTGATGTGTAAAGTAACACGAAAATAACCTCAACCACCAAGGAAGGAAATATAGTATCGGAGTGCCACAGTCAAGAACATAGCAGTGATGTCCGACTTATCCCGATTTCTGTCTCCGCACAGCCTTCATGCCCTCGATCCGCCGCCAAGAAAACAAAGCACCGTAATACCACTGACCACCGATTCCTGCCGATAGTTGGGTTGAGCCAACTAGTCCCAAGGTTCATCTGTAGAGTTAGTATTTGAATTATTAATAAGTATTGTATGGTTAATTGCTTACCTGTTGAGATGTCCCGCATCACCTGAAGACCTTGCGTCTCAAGGCCCTTCATTACATCCACTTTGACCACATGGACTTTCCCTTCTTCTTAGCGGGCTTCTCAAGTTCAGACTCAGAGTCTGTAGCCCGAGAATGGTGCTTGCTACCCTTCTTCTTCTTCGAAGGTCTCTCGACTTCGGAGTCTTCAGCCTGAGCAAACTGTTTCATAGCCTCCCGATGTGCCTTTGCCTCCCGACGCTCGAGTCTCTCCAGAGCCTGTTTGTTGGCCTCTTCTTCCATGGCCTTCTTAGCCTTCTTGGCTTTCTTGACCTTGTCGGAGTCTGATTCGGATTCATCCTTGATGCTGACTCCTGCTACGTTCACCATAAGGTGATCCATGGCGCGAGGTTTGTACTTGAGTACGCCGTTATCTCTAAGCTCTCGTTGGGTAGGTTTGTAGAACTCGGAGTCGGAATCAGACTCATCCGAGTCATAGTCCTGTGCGGACTTCTTGGAGTACTTCCGTGACTTTCCTACACCCTCTGTAAAATATTATTAGAAACCCGACAATTCGAATCGTGGGGAACAAATGTACATACTTCGGCTCCCCTGTGAAGGGGCAAAGACGTCGTCGCCATCTGGCGAAATCGGTTTCACCGATGAGCCCTTCTTAAGATCGCGAGGCATGATGATGGGTGCTCGTTGATCTCTTGGGAGATAGTGAGAGTAATAGAGTAGAAAGGGTTACTGGATAGGTAGGCGTGGCTTTGTGATGATGGAGTAGTATGTCAGTTGGATGGTTGAGGCACCAGTGAAGAAGAAGCAGGTTGTCCTTGTTCTGTGATGAGAGAGAAAGATTGGAATTAAGCTACTGGTTGGGAGATGCCCCATGTTTATATAGATTTCTAATGGCCTGTACGTACCACCTATCAGTATGATTGTACCGTACGTGCCTACATAGATACGTACGAACCTAACACCTAGGCTAGTGGATACCATGACATGTATACTACCCATTGCTATGACAAGCAAGAAGTTTGTTACGAGTTATCCAGCTCAATGCATGTGCATGGACCAGACCAGCTGTTGACTCGACAACAAAATCGTATATAGAGGGGGCAAACATAATGAATCAGGAAACTTATTAGAAGACTATTAGATGTAGTGGGTCAGGAAGGTCTCTAGGAGGTGGCACTGACCATATCAAACGATTGTCAGAAGGCGAAAATGAGTTTGGTAAAGGGGTATGTACCTAAGTACTATATTGGTACGTCATGAGCTTGCAAATATAAGTTTTTAGGTGGCTATAATGAAGGTTCGTACCTATGGTACTATCGTCAGTGATTCTATGCAATCAATACTAGTAGCTATCCGACTTAAACAACTCACGATCACGAACGTCGTACCTAAGTACCTACTTCTCTAGAATATTTTAGACGCGTACAGGATTCCAAGGGATCATTTAGCTGACTATGAATAAGATGACTTGTTCAGTATACAGTAGTGATAATACGTACTAGGCACTGTTATTCATACGAAGGTGGTTATATCTAAGCGGCTGTACCTAAGTCTAAGCTACAGTACTCAGGTACGTAAAGTAAAATATCACCTTACGGATGTTGAGTTGACTACCTAAGTAGCGCAGTAAGCCAGGCCACTTATTAGGGATAGACCTGTGATTAAAGAGTAGGAGTTGCCGTGAGTAATAAAAAAAGAAAATACCGAAATGCCAAAACTTAGTAATAGTCAATGCTGTTATTCAGTGTTTGACCCTTGTAGGAGTGTGATTATTCCCTATTCTCGTGCTATCGACAAGCTCAGCACGTGGTAATATATCGGCGAAAATAAATTGCAGTCTACAAGTAGGTACCTCTTTCTCTAGTAATATACTGAGCAACGGTCACTCTATATGGAGTCGGTTTCGATACCATTTATCTTGTGCTATTTGGGAGTGCAGAATGATATCTTTGATATTTTATATTGACCGTAGTTTGGAAGATTGGATCAAATTTAGTTTCTTTGGTTAGATATGTACAGGGGGTTGTTCAGGACATAGTTTATAGGATAAGCCTTAGACCTAGGGTTATAATTATCGGCGATATCCGAGTTGAAGAAAAGAATGAAGTTAGAACGGAACTTTCGTTAGTAAATGTCCCAAAAAGGCACTTGGACTTGGAACCTTTTAAACCTGAAAAGTATACCTCTTGGCTTAATAGTCATATTGCTAGACCAGTGGTGTATTTGTCTCAAGTTTATACCTGTTTGCCGGTGAAGGATTGTTTATACATTGGATAGTAGTAATATGCGAAAGGGATAAATCTTACTGAGGTTCTTGAGTAAAGGTATTGAAAGAGCAACTTCTGACACCTATCATATTATTAATTACCATATGTCGAAAAATAGCTATTATTTATTGCTACATTATTTAATATGTCGTCAATAGTCAAGTGGGCATAGGTTTAGTGGTATAGGCTCTTTCTTCCAGGTTCGTGTAAGCGAGATTTACTTAACATGTAAGTATTTTATTCCGCAAGCATGATTTTCGTAAAATCGTTTGTTTAAGGTATGGCATTTTTACTATCTAAATAGTTGTCTGTTTGTAGAGGGGGGATTTAAAAGTAAGTGTAACCAATTGGTAAAAAAACATGACTTAACTCCTTCTCATGGTTTTAGTCTGAATTTGTGACATGCTATTGTGATAGTCCCAACAGGGAGGTTCATTATGGGAATAAATCAGTTGTTTGAGTTAGCAAATGATCTCTGATCACCCAATCACGATATACGGTCATTAAACTCCTGTATGAGAAGCCTGGCAACCTATGGGAATATCATTGTTCCTCATAGCGTTTGCTAGAATTGAAAAATCTTTGAAATTAGCATTAAAAAACCTCACCCGGACGGAAACAGGTGCATCGTGCTACCTTAGCTCTATAGCTACCTAGGTATACTACGTCAACGGTCCAAGGATTCGAAAGACTTAGGAGGACTTGTGTAGAAAATCTTCGACACCTTAGTGAGCTGGTCAGCGATCTCCAAATCTCCCACTACTACCAGTGGGTCCATAATAGGTCGCATGTCTATGAACATTAGAGGAAGTCGACCTGGAGCTTGATTCATAGCCACCATAGCTAGGTCTTCATGAGAATTAGGCTTATTACGTTTGACAAAGTCTCCAAGTACTTTGAGCATCAGTGCTGAGGAAAATGCGCATAATGATGAACCCGAATGAATCTTAGCCTGCTGTAGGAGAAGGCAAGCATAAATAGAAGCATCTTCAGTTAAGGTTTTAGAGGTTCCCATTAGTTTCATGCTCAACTATGAGAAACTTGCTGCATTGAGAATTTCTTAGATCCTAAGACTACAAAGCCCTATTAACTATCGTCACTACGATAGGCTGTCAGAATAGGGGTTAGAATAGGGGGCGCGGTACCAGGAGGGGGGTGTAGTAATAGCGTGTGGGTATAATGCTGGTTGTTCAAATATTACCTACTTCAATTTCTAGTGATTATATACTTTGAAACCTGGTTTTATCACATACAGAACTGCTTAAATTAGTAAATATAATTATTACGAACTTTAAAAGGTACAAATTTCACTTTTGAATAGTGACATTTGAAGCTTATCGATTGTCATAATTATCATAGCTACCTAGGTACCTAAGCTACGCCTATCTAATTGTATCATCTCCATTCGCGTCTAGTCTTCGAATATTTTCTGCAACGTCTATTTTTGTCTTCCTCCGTGCGATCGTCTCTATCCTAAATATGTCATGTTCTAGATATCTTGTCTAGAATTCTAACAGTTTGTTCGTAATTAACTGCATTGTTATGGAATAAACCATAGTTTGTAGTGACAGGGTCATATTGCTTTGATAATTCATGCCTAGCAACACGTCTTTTCCGTGGTTCACTATTGTGGCGTTTGGTGGTGATAATGGCTTTGAAGGAAAGGTAACCAACCATGGTGTTAACGATAGAACCCATGATAACCTGGTGCTGACACAACAATAGATTGAGTTGCAACTATTTTCTTGATCGTTCCAGACATGATATTAACAGCACCCCTAGTAAGATTGAATCCAAGATCTGTTATGTAGTAGTCCCCTAAAAGTAAGCAAATTGTTAGCCGGCAACCTATACACAGATAGCAATAGTATAGTAACTTGCCTAGGTTAATAGACATACCTTAATCCATAATAGAAAATAAATTTAGGATAAAATGGATTATAAAAGTAGTTGCAATAGTGATAAGCAGTATTTGTTGATTGAATAGAATAATGATGGTTTTAAAGGTGGAGGAGGAAAGGAGTCAACTGGATGAAATAAAGCTTCTATAACCCGTCTTGATGTGTAGAAGTTAAAATCTAGACCATTCTTGTATAATACTGTAGGACTTCGGCTTGAACGTGGTCGTGAACAATAGGATATTTGGGAAGGTGGCGTAAATATTGGCTTGTTCAAGAGAACGTCATTCTTTTGGATAGGCTGGTTGTGGGTTATAATATTAATGTTTTGATTGAATTAAAATTCGGTATTTAGCTGTTGCTATCATTTGTCAATATAAATTAGGGTTTGATGTATTGCTTTCACTAGGTGTAGTACGTACTGTTCACCTCTCAGTCGCGACGACCGCCGTGGCTCGAGGTGGGGATAGAGAAGGCCTCGCCTATAGAGACATTGAGGGCTGTCAGGTTGGGATTAAGCCTTATGAAGGACTTCAAATGATGATAGAAACTAATTGATGTAAGTTTATTTGCCGGTTGTAATGTATTTAGGATGTGTTTGGTTGTTAGTGAAGCCTTAAGGATTCTTGTATGAGGCTGTCGGGTGCTTTGACTGTTTGAATAATGTGATACATTATACTAAGGGAGTAGAAATAAACTTGAAATGAAATATATAATGTTAGAAGTAGAAGTCATTTAGTAGAGGACATGTTGATGTTTTATGTTAATGTTGGTTATGTGATGAAGAAATAAAAAAGAAATTAAGAAGACGGAAGTCTGAAAAGATCAGGAGGGCTAGATATTTATACGGGAGTAAAGTAAAGGTTTGATACAAATTCAAAGGAAGGAACGCTCTTCAGCGGTGCACGCGCCAGCACGGTTCAAAATATTGTCCTAGTAACAAACATATTTTGTACTGTTAAAACAGGTGATTAAGGCAGTTACGGGAAGGTAACTACGTAGAGGTAGTTGCGACAAGGTAGTCACGGTGACTTTCCGAGGAAAGTACGCGTAATAAGATAAACATCCCCGGCCTATTCGCCCTCCTTATAGACTAGAAAGGCCTACGGGGCAGTTTTGTTAGGAATTAGATAACAGGTAGGTGCCTGTTTATTAAATGGAACAGCTAGGAGATGTAATTCTAGATGACACGCGTTATCTTTCTAAGCAATAATCAATGTTTCCTTACCCAGGTACCTTAGGTAGGTATGTAAGGTGGTGTAGAAAGAGCCCCCTTAACAGTATTCACATTGCTTTGGGTACCTAAATCATTATGACATTTTTATGGTATGAACAATTTATATTGTACCACGACTCCTTTGTCGGGTATTGCTTATAGCTCTACTAACAATATGTAGACCCATGCCTAATGCTCACACCTCTATGACTCTCCGAGATATTCTCAAAGCCCCTCTTTTCACTTGCTTGAACCATCCCGTTGGCTCTTATCCGTCACTCGAGCCATCAGATGGTCCATTGCTTTGGAGCTGCTAACTTTGGGCTCCCGAGCAGGCTTCCATCGTTTCTGAACTGGTCCCTTCTGTTTCTTTCCCCGTTTTTTGGGCTTAATATCTTCATCCGAATCACTTTCGATACCCACCATCCAGTCTTCGTCTTCTGAAACGTCTAGGGGGTGCTTTTCTTCTTTGGCCTCGGAACCATTGCGTATCTTTTGGCGTAGAAGGTATGCGCCATAATTGTCGCTACCTTGTAGCCGAGCTTCTGGGGCGAAGAACTCTTCGTCAGATGGGCCGTTTCTCCAAGCTGATAGATCGTCAACTTCCTATTCGTTTAGATAGTATTGTAACATAAAAGACTTACGTTCATTGCGAGTTCCGAAAACCGAAGTAGACTGTTTCTTTTGAGGATTGCTAGTAGAAACCGTTGATTTTCCCTTGCCTCGGCCCTGTTGAGAGTTGGTAGCTGACTGCTTGGAATCTGCGCTAGTGCGACTCTGCTCATGTTGGCGTTGGTACGAGGTATTCACGACAGGATCATCGTCAAGGCAAATAGGGTTCTGGCGAGATCCCTTATTATAACCTGCGGAGCTTTTGTTCGCCATCTTTTAGAATAGAGCTAACGTTCTCTCCGGCGACAATAGTGATAAATCCGTAGGTGTAGATCGCTGGTTGATGGCAAAGCGTGATGTTAAATAAGGTAGGTGATTATCAAGACTAGTGCTTATGATAGTAACAGAAGAAAGAGTTGTCTGATGGACTGCTCATTTGTACTGCAGAATGTAAGTAGGAAAGAATGAAAAGGCTGAAGTAACAGGCATAAGGTGTTTATATATCCTTGGGGGGAAGGGAAAGGGGGGTCAATGCATACGGATAATAGTGATGACTACCCTAGGAGTCATTGGTACAACTGTAGGTACGAATATAATATATACATAGGTACGATTAAGGCGCGAAAGGGCCTAACCTAGTGATGGTGATGATAACTATTTTGTTTGTGTCCAGTGGGCCCGCCCGGACTACCCGCCCAAAGGTACGTTACTGTGTAGTGACGTCCCTTAGTCACTCTGAGTAGGTCTTATTAATGTGTTAGCTAAGATGTGGAGGGCTATTTCGATGGCGTTGACAGCTGATAGCTAAGAAGGTTTGCAACTGTCACGTACTATGTATGATCAGTCATATAAGAGAGCAAAGATCTGGGTGTATGTAACAGTGTATGATCAAGGTTATAAGTCCGAATCATGACATGTATAGCTACTTGATAGACCACCCTAGATGGTAGGTAGGTAGATTATTAGATCATAGAGATGTAGGTAGTGCAGTGAGCTCACTCAGTAGAACTGGATCCGTGACACATGCACTGGATACCTAGGAACAGGTGAAGGAGGTACTTGAACCCCCACCCCCTCCAAGCCATTACCCCTAAACCTGCGATATGAAGTATATCCAACAGTATAGCTATTTCGGAGAGGCCGATATACTTAATATACTATCTATGCTGGCGAGAATAAGCGGCTCGTCACTGTGAATGGCGTATATTATAAAGATGCAACAAAATCTATGTGTTCTAAAACGGAAGAAGATTTGAAATACAAGTAGACTACGAAAGAGATTAATATACCCCTTGTACTAATCAAAGTTTGGAGACATGGAAGCATGAAAACAGATCCCGTCTGCAAACTGGAAGTGCTTGACATAACTATAGTAAATACCGTGCTTACTTATTAAGATGATGTTATTGATATTAGTTTTGATAGTTACGAACAAGGCTGTTATACTCTCTAAGTTCTTAATCATCTCATACTCGAAACTACTGAGAAGGTATTTTGTTGGGTTATTTTTATTTAGCAATCTTATGCATTGAGTTTAGTTTCTTTAGTTTATGATTATTTTTAAAGGACTAGTTACCTAAAGCGGCATTAAGATGCTAATGACTTGTATGCGATTGAACATCTTTATGGTTAGAATGATGGAGTGTTTATAGTTAGGTTTTGAGATATTCTATTTACTAAGCCCTATTATACTCCTATTAATATGATAGATTAAGTGGTAATTGCTCTCGAAAACTTAAAAAAAAAAACTTCTAAATTTTCTACTTATGATGAATCTGCTCACATATATGCAGGATTAACCGTACCGGAATAACCAAAAGACAATATCGGAAACAGTTATCGGGATGTAGCTGTGGTCTCAGATACAATATAACCTGGGAAAAGGTTATTGGGAATAAAAACAAGCCTCTAAAATAATTAAATCATATTTGTAGTTGTATCACCTTTTAGCCAATGATCACAGTTACCAAATTATGAAGCTCCAAGACTAACGATGCAAACGGGAAATGTCTCTTGGGTTTAAATTATGCACTGTGGCTTAGAGATAAGACATGGGAATTGCAATGCGCGGTTTAAGAAATCTATTGCTATCAACTATGAATACCTCATGGAAAATTCATCGCATTTGCCATATGTGCAAAATAGTGCCCCTGGGAACAGTGGCAACTGCCTGCAAGTACAAGAATGGCTGAATAACAAGAAAATGAAAAGCATCGCAAGCTCTTGAATATCAAACATTAGTTATCTTCTTCCCCAGGTGATCATTTCATTCGGCACCGCTTGCCAAATAACTCTGTAGGAAGAAGAGAGCTTCATAAAGCCCAGGAAAGAAAGTAGTAAAGAGAAAACAAATTGATAAAGCATAGCCACTGTTGCTTTATGCAACATCATGCGGTGATTTACCGTCCGTCCGTCAGTCATCCAGCTATCTCTTCCCGTGATCTTGTCTTAAGATCAATTTCATAGACATGACGCAAACCAAGCATGAAGAAATCGAAATACTCCCCCCATCGCAACGTTCCTGGCGTATGTAACCCTTCTCATACTATTCACAGCACGTCCCTCAAATATTCTCAACATTTATTCCTTAAGGACTAGAAGCCTTGGCCTTCTTGCTCGGTTGCTCTTGGCTTTGAGGAGATAGGCTCATTTGGGTTTGGTTGTAGCTGGGACTGTTAACCACCGGTTCGGTGTGGGGGGTCTTGGAACCAAGGTGCTGAGAAATAAACTCCTTTACTGTTTGTCCGTACTGAGTTGCAGGAACCCTATCGAAGTAGAAACTTTCGTACTTGCGCTTCTGAACAGAAGTGTTCGGAAGGGGAATGGTAGGTGCTACAATGGGGTCGGGGCGCAAGCGGAAGGCGCGCGAGCTATCTCCTTCCAATGGCTGGGGTTGGGGCTGGAATACTGCTTCCGTATAGGGCATAGGCTCCGGGGGAGATGCGGATCCTGGATAAGAGATCGGCTCCGGATAAGAGACTGGCCCCACATAAGATACGGATTCTGGATAAGACACGGGTGCCGGATGAGATACCGATTCCGGATGAGATACCGGTTTAGGACAAGAGACCGGGTTCATAGATTGTGTATTGGATGTCAGGTTTGTGAAGGATGTTAGTCCTGTATAGGATGTCGGTTCTGTAGGGGATGCTGGCTTTGTGCAAGGCACTGGTGTTACAGCTGGTGCTACATAGGAAACCCAAGACTGCTGGGCTAACAAAGGCTCTGCATGGTCATTAGCTACTCTGGACGAAAGTATAATGTAATAAATTAATAATTTACCCATGGCTTGGATGCTCTGAAGGAGTCCCGAGGTGCTTGATTGCGGCACCGATGATAGATTAGGACCCTTATCTGCCTGTTCGGTGCAGACCCAAAAGGCCGGATCGTACATGAGAAGGCGCGGGTCAATGCAAGCCTCTGGGTACTGACTTCCCTCCGGTTCCTGCACGGGTTCCGGCACAGAGTCCTCGGAATCGGGCTCGGAGTTCATACCGAAGAATTTAGCATGGTACCGCTCGTAATCCGATGTGTTGCCAACCTGTGTATGGTCGGGGTTGTGAACAGGGGAAGCAAGATTGGAGCGATTGGTGTGTGAAAGTATCTCTAGGCTCTTGCAAGTCTCTGAAACGATGTGCTTGTTAAGCATGTGCTCCGGGTAGGCAATGTCGATTTCATTGGGGGTCTGATGGGTGAAATCGATAACCTGGTCATACATTCCAATGGACATGGATGGCTCATTGTCCAACGGGATGCCCAATTCTCCTACATCAAAGTTAAGAGTATAGTCCTCGCCGGTAGGCTCTTTCAGCTGATTATACGACGCCATTTTCTCTGTTCTGGAGTTCTCCAAATAATTGGGATGGGTTGTGTCGAAACAGAAAGAAGATCTGGACGATGAGGTTTTGTGAAAACTAGAGGTAGAATATTAGAAATTGTTGCCTAGATAGACAGACGGCGCGTTTTGAAATCACGACACGAGAAAAAAAATAAAGGCCTTCAAAGAGATGCTTACAACTCCACGGTCCACAAAGTGTTTACGCGTTATGGTATAGTATAGTTTCAGGATGATGCGGGCTTTCAGGTTTGAGGATTAATGGCAAACCTTCCTAAGATGAAAGGCTGTGGTTGTGATAGAATTGAGTTGGATGTGTTGTCTGGGAAGAAGTTTCGGTAGGTATGAAGGGGAGTCGTGTATGAGGGAGTGTTATGTAGGCAAAGGTTGTACACAGGAAAAAATTGTTGACTTGAAGAGTCAAACACAGAGACGTGTTTGTATATGTTGAAAGATGCACGTACAGAGTTTCTCGGGGTGTGTGTGCGTACCTTCGACGTACTAATTTTTTTCGACAGACGTGTTGAAGGAAAAGAATAGGCCACCGGCTCAAGCTACTACCACCTGAAGCTCATTCAACTAATGACTGCAGTGACCAAGTGGTTGGAATCCTATATCAGTGCTTATTTTATGTTTGGTAGTTTACTGACTCAATAGTTAGTGTTAGAATTTCCGAGGTGCATATCTCGAAAGAATCTTAGCATGATAACCTAGGTCATACGGATTGATTAGGGCTATTGCACTTTCACTTTTTACCTTTTGCATATCGACGACGACGACGACATAATCATGTTTGCTCAAATATACTTACCTGTTATGTAAAATGTTGTCCTTGATAGGTATTGCTTAGTTCAATAAATATCATCTTATGTCTCTACAAAGTGTACTAGTAATAAAACTACCAAGATATAAGAGATAGCATGCGGGTATCAGAGGATATCGACAATCTATATCAAATTCCTCATTTAATTGAAGATTTAATAACCTTTGAAATGTGTACATAATTCAATTGTTAAAAATCTTGATTTATTTAGGTATAACTACTCTTTGTGTAGGAACTGTGTTTGGCTCTTATTAACCATGTGACTGGGAATCCCCAAAGCACAGTTGGCATCAAATAGACCCATTATAATACACGGTCCATATGAGTAGGTAGTAAATGCTGTAAACGAGTTGAAATTTTGGTAATATTGCTCAGCCCTTTAGATATTTCTATAGATGACCAACGCACTTAAGGGGTTCCTCCGAACACCAAAGCTAATAGTACACACTTATTTTCCACCACAGAACTCCCAATCGTATATGCTAACCTATTATACAAACCCTAGGTATTATTATATCCATTATTCACTTCCTGTTAAATATGCCATTTCCCATAATCTTCGTTTTGTTGAGCGTATTCTTCATCCCGTTCCCAAAGAAAGATGACCGCTGCGGCTTGAGCTGCGGGCGACCTTGTTCCCAATCGGAGCCGTCGTACGCATTACCGGTGTATTGCTGGTTTTGAGCATTCCCGTAATACCCCTGATATTGTTGTTGCCAGTCTTGTGGCTGGTAAGCCTGTCCTTGATATGCCTGGATTGGGTTGCTTGGGTTGTAAGACTGTTGTGGCGCTGATCCCTGCTGTGGCGGGCTATGAGTGCCTGGATTATACGCAGCGTAAGTAGGCTGTTGGGCAGGATACTGAGTTGTTGGTGGTTGAGATTGAGTTGCATCAACTTGATTTGTGTTCTCATATAGAGAGTTATTAGGCTGGTACGGGGCCGAACTCTGATATTGTGCCGCTATTTGAGCAGACTGGCTTTGTGTGTATGCATGGGTATGCTGATAAGATACGGACGATTCTGGTTGTATGGTCTGACTCTGTGGGTTCTGATACGAAGGAATTTCATGGGGCTGCTGAGAGGCGGCGACTGGATCAGGCCGGTATGCGGTGATGGTCTGGTCGTACGTCCTAGTCTCTACAGATGCCTGGATTTGGCTGGCTGATGACTGGGACTGCCCTGGGGAGTGTGATTGGCTATATGTAGCTTGATTATCATAAGGGACAGTTGGTGCTGGCTTCCTCTTAATGTACTCGTGGGCAGGTAGTTCGATCGGCAACGTATCTGGCATAATCGGATCTGAGGTCGTCTGTTGGGGCCCCTGCTCGACTTCTATGCGATGAGGGATATTTTCCTCGGTTTGGCCGTTAGGCTGGTAAGCTTCTATATTCTCTTGCCTATTAGGTTGATAGGCGGGCTGTCCAACCTCTGTAGGTGTTGTAGACCGGGTGGTTGTAAATTCGTTCCATAGCGCTGCCTGATTGGCTATAGCAGATTTAAGCCGTTCAGAGATCTGGTCAAATGAAGACTGTTCCTCAGAAGTACCTGCATCCTGGGTATCATTTTCGGCTGCGTGATCGTCGTCGTCGGGCAATGGCGCTTCGTTAGAATAAATAGAACTTCTGATATCATTTTCATCTGGAATAACGGGGACTTCTTCGACCGTTTCCTCGTGTTGTCTATCCGCGACATCACTGACCGACGTTTTAGGCGACTCAACATTCTTTGGAGTTACTTGAGGTTCGTCATCGTAGCTGAGTTCTTGCTCCTTGTTAAACGCACCTCGTACAACACTAGTAACTGCGTTGTTACCAGAGTCCATGGCATTTTTGAGAGCGCTTAACAATACCGAAACACGATCGACAAGAACTTTCAAGCATTCCTCATTATCAGTAGCTAATGCCATCTGTAGGGCATTCTCACCATCTTCGTTTGAATGCATAATGTCAGCGCCGTTATTTATCAAGAATGAAACAGCCTCTTCATCGCCTCTAGATGCAGCTGCAATAAGAGCAGTATCCCCGTCTTCATCCGGGAGGTTGATGTCGGCACCTGCGTCAAGTAACAGCTGGAGCGACGATAGAGGCATGTAGGCGGCAGCCAAGCTAAGCGGTGTTGATGGGCAACCTCCGCTACCATGCACATCTAAATGCGCTTTGGCCTTGACTAAAAGCTCGAGAATATCCTCTTCGGCGCGAAGGGCGGCTGCAATGATTGGCGGTGCATCACGACCTCCCCCGAGGTTGGGATCTGCATTGTGTTCAAGGAGTAGAGAAACAATATCCGTCTTGCCTGCTTCACACGCCCCTTGAATTGCAGTACCCGATTCGAAATATGAGCTGTCAGTGAAGGCGTTCACGTCGGCACCGCGCTTTAGAAGCTCTACAACGACATCGTAATGGCCCTCTGTAGCGGCCGTTTGAAGGGCCCACCCCTCTGGCGCATTGACATTGGCACCAGCATTAAGAAGCATTTCGATAATCTCCATCGTACCATCGTAAGCGGCAGCGGTTAGGGCATTTCCATATCTTTATCTATGTCAGCAACTTGAACTTCGTACGATAATAAATGATAGCTTACTCGTCGCCGGTAGCATTGGGGTCTGCTTTAAACTTCTCGAGAAGTAACCTCACGGTGGACTCCTTTTCTCTATCGGTAGCATCGTAGAGACAATTGTTGAGTGTATCCGGCCCAATTGTACCATTAGAATAATTCCAGAATACGTCAAGGAGTTTGTCTTGCTGCTCAGTACCCGTGGCCGCTTGGTAGAATGCTCCGTCAACGTCAAGCCCTTGGCATTTTTCTAGAATAATAGTAACAATGTCCCAATTCCCTTCATCAACGGCCGAGCCGAGAGCAAGCTGGAAATATTCTTGGGTATGCTCATACTCAAGCATCCTATTAAAAACTTCAAGCCGACCTGCCTCCGCGGCCTTGACAAATGCCTTGCTGTACTCTTCGGGTGGCAACTTATCCGCGTATCTCTCAATTAGATACTCGAACATAGAGAAGTCAGACAATAATGCGGCTAGTGCAAGAGGCGCGTCGATGTCTGCGCGGTCAACGGTTAACGAGACATTGCGCTCGATAAGTAGTTCAACACATGCTCGATTGCCTGAGGATATTGCCGCATTTACTACCGGGCCAATATCGTTAGACATTGCATTAGCATTTGCCCCTCTTAAGAGCAGCTTCTTCATAACTTCGACATGGCCTCCGAAAGCAGCCATGTGCAAGGGTGTCTGTTCTTGGATTTCGTCTCCGTCATCAATTGCGGCACCTCTGTTTAGGAGCTCCTCGACGATTTTAGGGCGTCCGAAGTAAGCCGCAAAGTGCAACTAAACACAAAATTAGCAAACATTAAACTGAAGACCTAGTCTATACTAACCGGAGAGTTAACCAATGAATCGCGGATCTTAATCTGATCTTCGTAGCCATTTCGAATTAAAGCTGCGACGAGTTCTCTAAATCCGACAGAAGCAGCAATATCTATGGAATCTGAAGTCAGCAATTATTACTGATAGCGAATGGGTATAAGTTAAGAGATCTTGCTGATCTAGATCCGCATGCACACAAACAAACACCATCTTTGATAGGAGTAAATAGGGAGGCTAGGAGAATACATACGTAACCCTGTCAACGTCTTGTAGTCAAAGCCATCAAAAGTGCTAGTCATGCGCCAGTATTCTACAAGCCAGCGATGTCGTATCTTTGAATCGGACTTCCAGAAATCTTCTTCTAAACTCAAGTCCTCGGCAATTTCACGTGTAGCTTTACTAGCATGGCGTAGCCAATATTTGACTGTATATGGCACTGTGATGGTAAAAGTCAGCGGTTATTCGTTCGGACGAAACTTTGTTTAAGCTATGTCGACCCTTCAAATCACTTATCTACAGAAGTGAGCAATGGTGTAGGGCTGGGGGTTTGGACTTACGGGCTAGATCGCGAAGAATATCGGCCTCGGGATCCACTTCATCCTGGCTATCTGGTTCACTCTCGCTATCATACTCATCGTCATCGTCATCCTCGTCGTCGTCTTCCTCGTCATCATCCTCTTCTTCGTCCTCCTCTGCTTCCTCATTTTCATCTTCGTCTTGATCATCCTTAGCCGAATTACCATCTTCGCCGCTGTCAGGGGTTTCCTCTTGACCAGGAAAATTGAAGCTCTCATTTACATGCGAGAACGACCTGAGTGCAAGAACGCCATGTTGCCATTTTTTCTCTTCGTCCGACATGCCGAGGAGTTGCTTGGCGTTCTCTAGGAGATGTGTTTTAACCACTACATTCATGAAGGAAATGGTATTATTTGCTCGCTTGATAGCTAGCAGTGGCTTACACATCTCCACGAACTTACGGAGTTCAGATTTCTCCTCTTCGCTTGAGGAGAAACCAGCAAGTACACCAAGCTCTTCCTCTGTAGGGTCTTCGTATGTGAGAACAAGGGCACGTAACATCTCCTTAATCTTCTCAACCTCAGCTTCATTAGCTTTGAATATCTGAAGCCATGAATTATTCAGGAGCGTCGTTAGATCCTGTGGCATTCTTTCAAGTATTCGGCGGACTTTGAGGTCGCTCTCGGCTTCCGGAAGCTCTTGAAGTTGAACACATGTGATATCAATCCACTGGGTATTTTGGGCACGTTTGCCGATAAGACTGCTTGCGAAATACGCAAGCGCCTTATTGTAGTTCTTCTCTTTCTCGAGAGTGGTGACTCGTTCTTTAGCTCGCTTTCGTAATGCCGTCTGAACCTGGTTCCCATATTTCTCATCTTCAAGATCAACGAGACGGACACCCTCAATTTTAAGTGCTTCCTCAATGTTGTGGGCTTCTCTGCTGGTGATCATCCATCTTGTTGGCACCCGCTTCGTATCCGTATGGTTAATGCCTTGGAGCTCGGCGTTCAAGTACTTCATCAACTTGATAGTAGAATCTGAGTCTTCGGGAAGCACGTGCAGGTTATTGAGTACGAATATAACCTTACTGCCGATGAACTCATCTATGAGCATATCCTGAATAGTCTGCCATAAGTTCTCTACAGTCACTTGCGGCTTGTTTCCTTCGCCTCGCTTCTTAGCAAATAACTTGGCATAAGAAGCGAGCATCTCCTGTTGGTCGATTAATTGGGTCACGATGCTCTTGAGAACGTCCTCGGCGGTGCAATAATCTGTTGTCGACTCGCAAAAAAAGTAGGCAAGCAAGACCGGTCCCTTGTTCGAATCTGTATCCTTGATCCTGTCGATCTCGTCAACGGTTGCCAAAGATGCACTGGTTTTCCCTCGACCCTCTGGTCCTCGGATCCATAGGCAGTCAGCAGCGCGAGGTGTATTAGCCTCATCACCGGTCTTAATCTCATCAGATAGCCATTGTTTATACTCTTCTTCCTTCGTTATCCAAGAAGATGACGCAAATGTTTGCGCTAGGGCCCTGCGTTTCTTGGATACCTGTGCGCCATCTAAAGCTTCCATGATGTTGTTAATCATTTTCCGGTCGATATCGCGAACAGAATTCAGACGATTCTTGACTGCCAATTGGGCACCGTGGATTATCCTCTTCAAAGGATCTTTCACAAATTGGTTCCATTGGTCATCTTTCGGGCCGTCGAATTTGACAAGATCTCGATGGTTGCGTGCCAAGCCTTGTTCTTCGACACCTGGAAGCGTCGCAGAGTCGCGACTCACAAAATCGGCATATGATTTTGGGATGACGAGCTTGCTTATGCCAAAGAGGTCAGGCAAGCCAGCCATCTTGCCAAAATCGGTCGGCTGCTCCTCATAGAAACATAATAGGTCGATCTTAGGGCTTAGCTTTCCCACAAGGCGCATGAATTCATGCTTAAGCTCACGAAGGCCCTCGTCGCCAGGCTTCATTAAATCTAATAGCTTGGAAGTAGACGCTGTACCGGCCTTCTCGGCGAGGTATGCGTACATGGCGGCGACAGAAGCAACGGGTGCTCCATTGAAAGGTGCACCGAAGAAAATGGCGGCCGCGATAGCCTCAAACATGACAGGAAATTTATCTCTTCGAGAGTCTGCTATGGTTATCGCTTTCGCAACTACCAGGCCTCCCATACTATGGCCAATAAACACGATTGGACGTCGTTGTACAGCACCCTGCCAACCACAAAATGGCCATGTAAGCTAGAGTGTGCAGGTAAAATATACGGGGATTGATTTACCTCTCTCTTACTCCTCAACCCATTAAGCAAAGTCATGGCAACATTGCTCATAAACTGCTTCACCTTTAGAGACCCGGTCCATGCTGACTCGTACATATATAGCAGGATACGAGCCCGCGGAAAATCTCTGACTAGCCCATCGGTAGTCCAGTTAAAGCCGGTGCTTTCTGATTTCCAACTGTCTTCCGGATGTGCACCGAGGCCGGGCACGAAGACGATACTAAAGAGAATTAGAAAAAAGCGAAATTCGGTATATATTTTCTCCAACTTACTCAATTTCTGGTTCGACATCAGATTTATCAAGCGGGTAAAGCTCCTTGATACCCTGCTGTACGATATCGTAGTCCTTCTTCCGTCTGGCAGGTCCTGCGGCAGCCTTCCGCGTCGCGGAGCGTTGCAGAGACATGGCGAAACAACTATAAATCCCGAAATACTTCAACGAGATTCAAGTCGGGGCCTCTCACGGATGGGATGGGGCGACGGGAGTTATAGGCCAAGCCAGACAACAGGTGACTCCAATCTCTAGACTCAAGGATTACGGAACGGTCCATAGACCCAAAGTCCTTTTGGACCCGGTAGCATGAGAAAGTACATGTCTAGCGAATTATGTGATGGCGTGAGCATGGTCTTTTCCGTGCGGCTGATAGATTCCGTCTCAAATCGTGCTTCATGGGCTAGTCCGTCAGCACTAAAATGCTGCTTATATCATCTAAGCCCTGTCAGGGCCAGTCTAGCCTTGTCCTAGGCTGGAATAATCTGGTTGCTCGCTATCTCCCATTAGGCACGCGATGTTACTGATTAATCACTTCTTGGATGGATTATGAAAGACTCGGGTGTCTATGTAAGGTAAGCTTCTCTTGGCTAATACTATTTTTGTATACCGATAAATGCGACTTCTAGTGGCGCTTTTTACTACGCATATCCCATATCTCCTTGTGTTGATTAAGGTAAAATGCTACTGTACCTAAGGCAGAAAAGAAAAGAAGCGTTAATTTCAAATTTGGTGCGATCCCCGACCCTAAAATCCAGACACTGGGGAAGGGGGCGGGACGTAGCCAATGTTAGAATTTTACCCATGTCGACCCGCGATGGGCTGAATGCTGATCATTTTAACCCCTGCTTACTTCTTTTAAAATAGACACCCGATTAGAGCCAGAGCGCGTATGCCACATAAAATAGTTTGATTACCCTATATGTATATGAGTAGACGATTTGTCATATTAGTGTGCTATAGCCCTTCGTAGGTCATCCTACGGTAAAAAGAAATATTTTTCAATTTCAAGTGTATACCGACATCTTCAAGACTGGCTGCTAAGTAATAATCGTTAATGATGGGTACATCGCCTATCCCCTTCACAACTCAAGTGCTTAAGTCACGAGAGGATTCTAGCGCATCGCAACAGACATCAGACTTCAATGCTCTCCTTCCGGCTTCGCATCGTACAGAACGTGATCATATAGCTATCCCCGATCTAGACTCGGGCTTCCTTAAGCGGGAACTCCTTGTCGAAAGGTTGAATAATGTACAAGATTGGCTTTGGATATGTGGTCGCCCAATGCCTCCTCGGCCATTACATCACCAAATTCTCCTCTCAAGAGAGATCGCCATCAGCGAAAATCCAGAACTTCATCTCGTATGGTCAAAGAACCGCATATTCTTAAAACCTATTCCGCCATATCTCTTTGAACCTGATTTCTGGGCCGCTCACATTATCCAAGACGACGAACTAACTAAATGCGCTCGCGGCTACCTTTTCTCTTATACCGCTCTCATCGCGTACCAGAGTGACTTCCGCATCGCGAAAGAGAATGGGTTGCTGCCTTATTATATCGAATGGGAAGCATGGAAGGATTTCGCTAAGGAGATCCTACAAGGCCACGACTATGCATCTGTCAACCCACGGTACTGGTACGGCGAGCTCCGGTTGAGCCGGCTGAACAAGGTCTACCGAATACGGAAAGGCTTCATCTTACGCGGCTACTCCAAGATCGCAGCCCATACTGTTTACGGCGATTTAATTCGCGATAACTTCGCTGCCCTAGCAACTATTCTCGGGTACGTCGTCATTGTGTTAACGGCGATGCAAGTCGGCCTGGGAGTAGAAAGGCTACAGGAAGACGAGACGTTCCAGAACGCCAGCTACGGATTTACAGTATTTTCGATTATCGCACCGTTAGCAGCAGGCATGGGCATCTTTTTATTGGTTCTAGTTGTATTCATTAGCAACTGGGTCGTCACGAAGGACTACGAAGTGAAGAGGTTCCATGAGATGGGAGTGGAGCCATTCTGGAGAGAAGAATATAAGAAAGAGAAGACATCATCCACGAACAGGAATCCAACCATTTCTAATGAGCGGGAAGTCTAACGCTGACTTCCCGATATGAACAATGTATTCAGCGAGAAGTGTGTTTACTAGTTCACGAAATTGTTTCAATATACCCCTTATTTGGATATCAAGAACATCCTTAACCCCGCCTTCATGGTTTCTTCCGAGTGCCAAAGCCCTAAGCCCCAAGCCCCTTTATTCAATTACCCCAAGATCGTTCGTTAAAGGGTATGAAGATAAAGAAATACGTAGTCTAATATAAGTAATCAATTGTATGATGCGACTATACTCTAAATAAGATCGAATGTATGTATGGATGGCAAAGTTAAACCGCCACCAAATGCATCATTAAATTAGAATCGAGTAAACGGTAGCCTGTACAATGTAAGCTACTTCCTTGGAACGATAAGTATAACTTATGCTAAACGCAGAATCACTTACCATTTTCCTCGGAGCGTAATGTTAACCCAACTGTATCCCAGGTTAGTTTTCTATATGTATCATTTTCGTTAGTACACGGGACACTCACGCGACTCCATCGCCGTCAACCTCCTTCTCAACCTTAGAAGAGAATGCAATAGCGCTCATGATACCGTCGCCAAATTTCTCGTTTATAACAGCCTTAAAGGCATACCCATAGTTTTGTACAATCTCGTACAATCTGTAAATGAGCGGCTCTACGGGAGGCATTGGTCCCGCACGTCCCCGATTAGGGAAACCGAGTGACAGCGAGTGTAAGTCCCCATTTTGGAGGTCAAGAGCTTCTGTCAACTTCTCGATATCTTCATCGGATGCCTGGGCTTGGCCATAGAATAAAGCAGCAACCGCAACCTCGCTGCGACCTAATTTCTGTGCAAGCTCCTCGAACGTATATCCATGTCTGGCTTTGGCTTGGAAGAGAGTCTTCGAAACACTTGGTAGACCATCAACGAGTGTTTCCTTAAGAACCAATTAGTAATCCCGAATTAATAGGGGATTCTGAGAACTTACGTCAAGGACGCTGATTCTTGGGTGGTCGCTCATCTTCACGGTAGGTCTTTGAAATACTTCTTAGAAAGACAATGAGAATACTGTGCTATTTGACAGGTACCTAGGTAGTTAGAAGAAAAAGAAGTTCGAGGGTAAATCGATTATTTATAAAAAGGTGAGGAGTCGCAAAAGATGAGGGCCGATACGTAATGAATTGCGCACTTACAAACAACCCCGCGCAAGCTCTAGCTCGAGATCTAGACACCATCTTGCTACCGACGGCTCGGCACGGGGATAAACCGGGATTTCGGTGTCTCAGTCAGAATAGGATCCCGCTCATAATAAATCCGCCGACTCGGTATTCCCGTGCTCCCGATTGAAGTTCAAACACCGTTGAGTTAATTACTATGTCGGACGGGACCCGGAGTGATCCGGTTTGGCGCTGACTAAGTCCGAGGAGAATTGATATTCGAGTCTACTAAATATAGTGTAGCTGTGTAATTGAAGTACGATAGCATAGGTGAGGTAGTTAAGAATAATTTATAATCATAATATAAGATATGCCACATAAAACAGAACCCAAATCAACCAAAAATTGTGTATATAACTAGTACAATGGTATCCGCACAAGCCTTTCGAAAGAGAAAGTGCCTAATCCTAAATGATAAAAAAAAATTGCGTCAAGACATGCTAAAAATTTCCCAATTCTTGAGGTAGAAATCACCACTCCCCGCCACCCCAATCACCACCCGAATAATCCACCGTACTCGTATCCATATAACTCGCACTAGCATCCATGCTAAAATTCTCCTCTGTCGTCATCATAGACATCTCGTCGCCCATATACGTCGTCTGGTTGATATCTACGTTCATGTCGACGTTGACATCGATGTACGTCGCGTTCGCGTCCATGTACGCTGTGTCTGTATACGATGCATCTGCATACGCCGTTGTGTCCGTGTACGCCGTCATATCTGCGTTCATATCCATGTTCGTGTTTGAGGAGTCCATGTACGTTGTTTCTGCGAACGCGGTTGCTTCCGTGCTGGTATTGTTATTCGTCGTGTCCATATACGCTGTGTCTGTAAATGAAGTCGTTTCTGTGTTCATCATATCCATGTTTGCCGTATTCTCCATCTGTGAATTATCCGTGTAGTTCATATTCATCTGGTTCGTGTCTGATATTTGAGTGTTATCTGTGTAGTTCACGTTCGTCTGCGTTGATTCGGCCATTGCGGTATTCTCGATGTTGTTGATCGTTGTGTTATTAATAATGGTACTCTCCGGTTGTGGCGCGTAATACGCCTCTGATGTCGAGTGAGATTCAGCAGGAGCTGGTTCGGAATATGTTTGGCGATCTTCGTTGGTGTACCCGTTGTTTTGCTGTTCACCATGACTTGTATAGTTTTGCTCGGCGTGGGTCTGTTGATATGATTCGTTATTGGCTTCTTGATGTTGTCCAGAGTAAGACTCATGGTTTTGCTCTGACTGGTTTGTATATTGCTGTTCAGAGTAACTTCCATGGTTCTGTTCAGACTGTTCTGCATGATGCTGTCCGGATTGTCCCCCATGTTGTTGCTCAGAATATGATTCGTGCTGCGGCTCGGAATGTTGAGTATGATTCTGCTCAGGATTTGCAGCTTGATGCTGCTGAGCTGTAGAAGCCGGTGTATCAGTTTTACTTCCAGTTAAAGCAGTAAGAGCGCCTCCGATTGTGGCGCCTATGGCTGCGTAAGGATCTGCAACTCCTTGCCCTTGATACCCAGGCTGACCAGGCGGCATTTGGTAGGCGGCCTGATTAGGGCGGACTTGGTAGAGAGGCTGACCGGGAGGCCCCTGGAATACCGATTGCCCAAAAGCTGCAGATTGTTGCATCTGCTGTTGTAGTTGCTGTTGTAGTTGCTGCTGCTGTTGCTGTTGCATCTGAGATAACGGCGGTCGTCCAACTGGAGGCCGTGGGATTTGATAAGGGGCTTGTTGGTTTATCATATTTGGTTGTGCTGCATTATAATTCACCGGAGTTCCTGCCATCCCTGGGTTCTGTACTATAGGGGGCCGCCCTGGCATCTGAACACCGGCAGGTTGTAAGCCCTGCTGTAATTGAGGTCGGTTGATGGCCTGCATTTGTGGAGATGTGATACCTCCACCTTGAAGTATCTGTGTCTGTGGTGGCGTAGTATAAGCATGCTGTAGACCTGGCGGCCGTTGTTGCTGACCGCCTTGAAGTTGCACCTGAGCTTGGCCCTGAGCTTGGCCTTGAGGCTTGCCTTGCATACTATTATATATATTATTTCCCAATGAAGCCCCAGCTAACCCATTCATTCCCATTGACTCGGCAATAATTGCGCCCCCTATCGCCGCCGATGACTGTTTTAAAGCAGGATTCTGCCAGGTCTTTTTGGCCCATTTCTTCATTTTCTTGCCTGCATCAGACAGTGCAGCGGCTGCCTGAGTCGAAGTGAAAGGTTTATTCTGTCCAGGTATTTGTGGGAAATTAGAATTAAGCGCAGGAGGTTGGGTAAGTTGTTGCTGCCCCTGTACTATCGACTGACCGGCGAATTGTTGCGTAGTTGGGGATTGGATCCCATGAGATATCTGTGACTGACTGGTCGCACCATGTATTATGCCACCGACTGCTTGCCCGTTTTGCCCACTTGGTGATTGATTAATATTACCCATGCTTTGTTGCATATAGGTTGAAATATTTTGTCCATTTGCGGACGATTGTATAAGGGTCTGTTGCTGACCCGGTGCCCCCTGTATAGTCGGTCGAGGCTGTCCATTATGTGCTGTTAATTGAGTCGGCTGTCCAGTAATTGTGTTTCCGGAATGTTGTACATGGTTTCCATTCATGGTTTGCTGCTGAGGCGGTCTTTGCGCTGCTACATGCACCATCTGTTGACTTCCGGATTGCTGCTGGGTAGGCTTCACTGATACCGCCTGTCCCTGCGCATATTGGAATTGTGCTGTAGTAGTGGGCGTTTGCTGATTCTGTGCGAGAATATGGGGCGATCCGACTTGGGAAGGCAATGGCTTTACCTGCCCCGGAAGCATGGGGAATGGATTTGAACCACCAGTGATAGGAGGACTCGGTGACTGAGTAATATGTTGATTCGCTTGAATTTGAGATGCTTGCGCCACCGTTGGTCGTATGACATGAGAAGAATTTTGATGAGGAGTCATATTTGGCGGTCGGTTTTGACCTGCAATATTCTGCGCAGTACCATACGTATGTGACGATGCGGAGGATGGCGGTCGATGGAGAGAGACAATTGAAGGAGCCGGTGAAGAAACCTGACTCTGTAATGGAGAGACAGGTTGGGCTATAGGAGATGGAGATTGTGGTTTGTGTTGCCCTATAGTTATCCCAGTCGGCATGTTCTGGTCTGGTTGATGGTTACTTTGGGGCCTTGGACTAGGGGAAGAATTTGATGGTGGTCTCTGTTGATTAAATGCAATAGCTTGTGGAGTCATTGGTTGACTCGAAACATTAGCTGAAAAACTACCAGAGGCCTGAATTGTAGTTGGTACACCATGGTTGGGTCTTTGAACAGGCGCCTGTGAATTATATGTATTATTTATAACTGTCTGGCCTTGTGAGTGAGCACTACCTAAAGAGACATGTGCTGCCGACGAGCTCTGCGAAACTTGAGGAGAGTGTTGTGGTGAACCCGATATTGATGGCTTTTGGTAATTATGCGCTTGGGCAGGCTGTCCAGGTGGCTTCCCAGGAGACACTTGAGGTACCGTGGAATAAGGCCGAGTCTGTGATATGGAACCAGGTCTAGGGGGTCCTATAGATGATTGAAGTCCTTGTTGAGACGCAGGATGAGGTCGTATTGGAATATTAGTTGAACCCATCATAGGGTTTCCAGAAATAGGGCTAGCATTTCCGGTGCTCTGTGAAGCCAAAGGCTTTCTCTGTGGTTTATTCGGCAAGACAGGAGAGCTAGACATTGATCCTTGGGCGCTCATATTCGAAATTCTGTCTGGACTTGCTGGTTTCTGAGGTCTAGATAAGGAAAGCGGAGCAACTACAGGGAGTGGCTCATTCATGATAGGATGGAAGGTTTCTGTAGGCTGGTGAGGCTTCTGGGAAGATGCACCTTGGCTGCTAGAGTCATGCATGGCTGTGGCAGGGCCGTAAGGCTTGTTCTGTTCAGCTATAGATTCTGTCGCTGTTGGTATTTCCTGAAAGATATATATTCCGGGCCCCCCTATTTTTGGCGGTGATGATATATGAGATGATAGATGATTTGGTAGGGTGTTGACCCGATGAGTACCTGGACGAATAATTTCTCCGTGCGTCTGTGGCGGGCGTTGGTCCCCCGAAGTACCATTCAAGTCATGGGCAGGCCTGAGTACTGATGGGATACGAGCTAGACCAGGACCAACACTAGAAACCCCCGAGCCATAAGAGATACTCTCATGTCTCGCTCCAGAACCTGGTATAGCTGGGACGCTAGGCTGCGGTTGAGAATCATCTTGTGTTACTTTCGTTGGTGGCACTGCGGGTTGGAGGACGGTTGGAATGGGTGAAGTTTCAACTTTTGGGGAAGGGGTGGATACGATTGCCGATGTCCTAGGATCTGACGGTTGCCTCAAGACTCCAGGGAGGTTATGATTCTCTCCCGAGGATTCAACAGGCCCTGAAAGCGAATGCCGCTTCTGGTTGATGGGACCAAGCTCTGTGTTTTGAGACTGAAGAACTGATATACTAGACAACATCATAGAATTTCTATATGGGTTCTTCGGTTCCTCATTGGAGATTCCATGTGTAGGTTTCCATGTCTCATATTCATTCTGCTCTATCGTAGTCGCCGGTGGCCGTTGAGAAGCGATGACTTTCTGCTCCACCCGCGGGCTTTCCGCTTCCACGCCATCCACGGGCTTGACAGTCGTTTTTAGCGGAGGATAGGCAAATGATGCCGAAACTAGCGGATACTCTTCAACAGGTTTCATAGTCTCTCGAACTGGATGTTGTACCGGCGCTTTCTCTTCTACTTGACTCCTTTCCGTCGGCAATTCTGCAATACTATTTTGATTGGTTTGTAAGGGTGCTTGAGCGATCTGCGTTGCATCCATTTCGATGGGAGCCAACTCTTCTGCACACTTTACTGTGTCGCCGCTGGCAAGCTCAGAAACGAATCCTACGGGTGACCATCTTTGCGTCGATTCAAGTTCTGCTAGTAGTGGGTTGCTCTTACTGTTCACTGGCGATGCTGATATTGCGGTATTGGTTTTGATACTGCTCTCATTGCCGACCGGGCTTACATCGTTAAGTCCAAAGTACATAAAGTTGTCTGGGTCAAAATAACCCGTAGCCCCCATTTCATCTTTTCCATCAGCCAGCGCCGTCTTTCCGCCATTTCTGGTTATATTAGGAGCGTCTTCCGGAGTAACTTTATATTCGGTACCGAATTTATTTCCTGGAGCAAGGTCGAGTGGCCCAAAACCGATGCCTACCAATTCGGGAAACTCGTCGCCTGGCCGCGGGAAGTGGTATTGTGTAAGGCCAGTGGTTTTAAAGCGGTAGAGCCACCGACAACCGTCGTAATCGGACTCCCATCCTTCGGGAAGATGTGCCATCGTCAATAAATGCGAGCCTAGGACAACGACTACCCTCTAGGAGGGGTAAAGAGGGCCAAATGTATACGCGATATAGTTGAATCGTCGTCAGGATGGTAGAGGGGTTCGAAAAGCTCAAAATAAAACTCAGTACCAACTAGATTAGGCTAAGCAGGATTAGAATGAGAATAAATGGTGTCTCCAACGAATAGTTCGGGGAAGTAAATTCAGAATAACCTTCAGTATATGATAAGAGCGAAGGACGCCTTTCCTAGAGGAAAGTATGAAAGCCTGAGCTGACTTGTTGCCCGAAGGGGTCGAGACCAGGTCACACACGGCAAATTGCCTGGCTGGCTTCTTTCTAAGAGGGCGTATTGCCTTCCAATCCCAACGGTCTAGCATGATGTCTAACCATTCTGGATATTGGTCCGTCGAATGGTGGCGTATAGCGTGCAGCAGCTGAACTTCGAAACCACCATTTTCGTAGTAGTTTGCCTGTTTGCCAAGCAAACCACTAATCCACAATTAATTCTCCACGAGCATTAAAGCTCATAATCAAGTCTACCAGTAGACTATATAAAGCTTCTAAAAAACTTGTAATCATGCCAATATAATAGGTTGAAAGGAGAATTCATATAGCAAGTTAATAATATCGAACGAGATATTCAGAACATCCACTAATGTCCTCTCGGTGTTCTAGATCTAGATCTACGTTATAGTAGCATCAGCATTTCAGCTCGAGCAGGGGTCCCCCGGTCAGTCATCCAAAGCTTAGGACAAACGCATTCGCATACTTCAACCGAATTCTCAACTTAGCTCTAAGTCATTATTACAAATAGATTCTAGAGTCTCTTATAGTAATGGTAAGCGAAATTTTGACAAATCACGAACTTCCTTCACGGAAACATCATACCTTAATCGATGTTGAAGAAGCTTTATACCTAGGTACTTAGTGCTACATAAGCCCCATTCAACGCTCAAATCGGGCTCTTGTCTTACCCCAAATTAGCGTACGAAGTACATAGCTGCAAATTCTCCGTCTCCGAATACAAGCCCTCGGAGCAATGAGAGTCATCACAAAGGAAATGCTTCTTCTTTAAGCTATGTCCCGAATATAATATAACTAATCAAGTTTAGTAAAATATACTACGCTCGGGCCTAGTGCAGCTATAGTCTACTTTTATACGCATTTCTCTATCCAGCCATGTTATTCAACTTAAGAACGACTTACATGTCAGAATAGGTTGAGTTCGACACTGACAAGTATTGGCGTACTATACTGCTTCACGTACACGTAGCATATTTGAAATAGAAAATAAATTAATAGCTAACTATGGTCATGACTATGACTATACCTAGGTAAGTTTACCAATATCTACACACCCAATCACCCTGAGGTGTGACTTTAGTCCGTAGGACATCCAGAGCACCTCCTTTAGGAGGGCAGAGATAGAGGTTCGGAGACATGAAATCCTCCGCTTCCGGTCTCCGTCTTACTCCAAGGATAAACGAGGTTATTCAGACACCGGCAACCGTATAAACTTATACCCTCATGCCGGCCTAGCTTTATTCTGAGTAAAATCCCTAAAGTTGAATGAATAGCCATTATATTAATATGTACCTATCAAATCGATACTTTAGCTTCGACTCCTTATTTTCAATCATAGCCAAAAGTGGTTCCATCTATTCTCAAGATGCTAACTAGGAGGGTTTTTAGACTCCTGAACCCACTGGACAAGAAGTTCCGGATGAAGAGCTTTCCCTTTAAGCTTTTCAAGTAACTCATCCGGCGGACAAGTATTTATAGTATACCTAATGTCTGTCGAGCTCATGCGTATCGCGCCATCGTCAGCCGGGATAAAGCGAACCCACAATCTATTGTTATCCTTGTTCGAGCAGATTCGCATTCCGGTTACCATCCTAATATATTCTCGCTGTAATTCCTCGATCGATCCAGTATCAGATTCTAGTTGTAGAATATAGTTTAGCTCATGTCGATACCAATAAAACTCTTCGAAATCTCAACTTACTTTCTCTTGACATTATAAGTGATAGTGAACTAAGAAGCCAAGGTGCCATTTCCCTGACAGTCTCCCAAGGATGTGGTCTATTTTGATAGAGAATCTGCCTCCAGTTCCCGTGGCGCTCAATACGAATCAAAGTGTTATCTTCACGCACAAAATCTGCCTCTCTCCCGACGTCACTGACAATCATGTTATCGCAGCCCCATGGGCCGCGTTGCACATGAGATCTCCCAATGTGATCTGGCCCGCCCAGATAGATAAATTCGAGAGAAAAGCCATCATTCGCAGTCGCATATTCAAGACTGGAACGAAAATTCTCCCACATCTTTGTACCTTGGTCATAGACCCAGAGCCAATCGTTAGGTTCATTATCTCCTCTCCATAACCGGGCCCTCTGGGCCGTTGTAAGCCATACGTCCCCAAATCTCTTCAACGAGCTCCTCGACGAGTTAACGGCGCCCACGGGGAGGACTATCGCAGCGATGACATCGATATCTTGAGAGCACAAAAAGGCGCAGTTAACCAGGGCTTGATGGGCGCAGTGCGGAGGGTTGAAGCATCCAGGATATAGAATGATTCGATTCACTCGGTCTTGTTTGAGCTGCGGTCCATAATGTCCGACCTCTTGATTAAATATCGGGTGTCTCTCGGAAGGGACTGTTTCTTCGCCGTAGTAGCAAGACTCGATATACTCTCCTAAATCTGCAACAATCATCTCTTCAGATGAAGTTATAGAGGAAGCCCTCGCTGATAGTTGGTCGCTTGGGGTCTTCATTAACGGTATCCGGAATAGTTGTACAGTTTTTTGTACACTCGAAGGGCTCCAGACTGTACCTCTGGTAAATATTTGTGAGTTTTGCTGATCTAATTCAAGATAGTAGACATATATTTGCTAGAGACTCTTACTTACTGGGCCGACATCGTTGAGGCATCTAAACGAAACAAATTACAAAATAAATATCTACATGACGAGTTTAATTATTAATGCCGTTATCTGTATAAAATTTTCTCCACAGTGTAGAAAAATTCGGTATGCAGTCAGTGCCTAGAAATCGAAACGATTGGATGTAAGTTGTCTAAGTCAAAGTGATAGCTCAGTTCTATAGGTTTTAATTGTTATTGTTTTGCATTTGCATATTGTTGTCACACAACTTTTAGGCAACACTGGCGGCTTCGCAACAGATACTAAGAGCAAGGTACTTTTATCTTAGATGTTTATTGCTTTTTTAAGACATAACTTAAAGTAACTATACTTTAAATTCAAGGCTTAATTTTTATATAAAATAAAATTTGGCATATTTATAAATTATATTTAAGTAGCATAATTAAGCAACGGGGTGTTATTTTAGTTAAAATATAATTTACATATTTAAATTTTATTAATAAAAATAAATAAAATTTATAAGTTTTTAACATTAACATTTAATTATTATAAAATAATAATATATAATATTTAAATATTAATTTATTTATGGTTAATAAATTTTTAAAGTTATATTAATAAAAAAAAATTATAAATGTTATAAATTTAATATAAAAAATGTTTTAATTAATTTTTATTAAATTTATAATTAAATAAAAACTTTATAATATATATAAATTATATAAGTTTAAAGTTTTATAATTATAAAAATTATAAATTAAATATTTATTATAATATAATTTTTATTAAAAAATATAAAAAGTTTTATAATATAAAATGTTTTAATATTAATTAAAAAATATTAATTACCATTGAACAAAAATAAGATAACTCTTAAAGTAAAACTATATACTTAACATATTAAGTCTTTATAAAAAGTATTTTTAATAGTTAAAGATAGTATTTTATTTTCGAATATAAAATGGGATTATATTGATTAAAGATAAGGTTTAAGTTTAAAAGAAAAGAATAAATATATATATTTATTGTAAAAAAAAATGTATATAATAGGTATAAGTGATTATAAAATAAATAAGTATAAATAATATCTATTTATTAATTATTAATAATAAAGGAATATTAATAATAATAATTAAAAAAATATAATAATTTAAAGATTTTATATGGTTTTAAAAATTAAAATTATATAATAAATTTTTATATATGATATTATTATAATATTATATTTATTTAATGTTTTTTAAAGTTAATAATATTAGTTATAATAAGGTAATTTTAATAAATAAACCTTATATTTAATACAAAATTTACTAATTAATATACCTTTAATAAAAATAAAACCTTTTAATAATTTAAATCCTTTATATTTTCATTTTTAAACTCAACAATCTTAATTTATTTCTTAACCTTTATAACAATGCGTTTAATATAATTTTTAACTTAATTAATAACTTTTTTAAGTTTAGGTTTAATTTAATTAAGTTATATTTTAAATTTATTTTAACTTAGCTATTTAATTAGGAAATTAAGCTACAATTGGTTAATAATATTTTCATATATATTAATAATCTATCTATAAAACGTAAACTTTTTATATTTATACTAATTAACTCTATATAAACCAAGGTTATAAAAATGATGTTTATTTAAATCTATTGTAATTAAAAAGTCTTTAATTAATGTATCATTATTATTAATAAATAGTTTTATTAATTATTTTAGCGTTTTTAATATGTTTAAAATTTTAGTTAATATTTCTTTAAATATTAAAGGTTTAATTTAAGTAATAAGAATTTTAGGTTAAGGTTAAAGTTTTAATTTAAACTTCTTTTTAAACTTCTTACCTTTTAAAAGTTACAAGCGTATTAATAATTTTAAATTTTTATTTAATTTATTAATTACTTTAATATTAAAGTAAATTAAAAATGTTTACATATACTATTTAAATAAAGGATAAGTATTTATTTTACATTTAATATTATTAAATAAAGTTTTTAAATTTTTTATAATTAAATATATTATAAAAGTATATTAATATCCGTATATTTATTCGTTTTTTTATTTTACTATATTAAATATAATTATTTTTTTCAATATATAAATTGATTTTTATT